TGTAATACTAAGATAACATAGGTACATCAATGACAAAAAAAATAAAAACTGTCAAAAGAAGTACTGGTATATAGGTAATTTATTCATATGTTAACATTTTAAAACATGTGTCATCTTGAGATAAAGGTTATTAGAGACATTTTGTTTATGAGAATACTTATCAGAATGTCCTCATTCATACCGAAATTTGCAGAATGGTTTTGACTTGTATCTTTTGTCAACAAAAAATTCGATCAAATGATATCCACATTCAGTTAATGGCGTCTGTTAAATTGACAATTTAGGAGTTGTTTTTTTTTTTTGAGAACCTAGTATGCATCAATCTTAGTATTTTGTTATTATTTTTTAACCCTGAATAATAAAGATTTCCCTTATTTAAAATTAGCTCCCAAGATTGAGCAATCAGTTTGTGAAGTGATGGTGTTATACTTATACACGGTCCAGGTAAATTTATTTTTGTAACAGTTGGAAACTCGTTAAATAGGAATAAATAAAAATCTGAACTATAGCTTTTATATTGATTCACATAAATTTTTATTTTTGAGGAAAATACTCAAAGATCTACTCAGCACCAGTTCAAACTTTTGAAATATTGCATGATTTTAAACAGGCGTTTGTGTAATGAAGTCTCTGCTTGCTTCAGAAATCTATTTGAAACTAAGGCCACTCAAAAATACCAACTCTCACATGTACAACAGTTTTCATGAAATGTTCAAATGTACATAGTAAAGTATGTACCCAGTAATAACATTAATATGTTTAAGTATGTTTATATAATAAAAATATAGAATAATATGAACACTATTACAAGATAAAAAACAATTTTGAACAATGAGTTTTTTTTTTGATTTGTATATAAATGCCTACTAAGAACACAAACTGTTTAAATTGACATTGTTTCTATATGAAACTTATTGAAAGAGTTATTCTTTAACATGCTCTTTAAGCAAGGTTTCCTTACCAGCTTTGAATGATATGCCAGCATAGCCCATTTTTTAAAGATTGTTTATCTTCAGATGCAGATCTTTTTCAGCTATTCTGAACTAATATTTTTGTGCAAATGTCAATTCATCGGAGCCAAGTGCCTTGGCAATTACAACCTGTTATATTTGTATACAACCTGTTATATTTGTCGAAATAGTTTTTTGTTATTCCTCAGCAATAAAAATTTCAATTTAGTCAAATTCAGTGAGCTTCATTTTTGTTAAATTAAAGATATAATTACTTTTGTTGATTCATTATCTAATAACTTTTTCAAGTTCTATAGAAAAAAGGGCAAGAAGGGGGCTAGAGGTATTGGTCAAAAATTGGTCTTAGTCCTTTTTTTAATTTCTAGACATACACTTTTACTGAACACATCTTTCACTTATAAAAATGTGTTCAAAATAATGCAAAACTATTTGCATTAATTTTTTTAATTATATTTTACAAAAATTAAAGTAAAGGAGTAAGGCCATTCTTTTACTTTTTTTGTTTAAAAATGCTAAGTTGGCACAATTTAGTTAAAAAGCATCTTATTCCTTTTTTGTAATATGAATTTAAAAATCTATGGGTTTACTAGTACCAACTTAGCACTATTTAAGATAAATTATTTTTTTCTGATAAAAAATTAGTTAAAAAACATTGAAGTTTTGCTAAATTTTAGTTGTTTCATTAGGTATTACATGTAAAAAAAAATTTGTGCAATAATCTATAAAGCTAACATTCACATTTCCATAAATTACAGTCTAAGGTTGTTTCTACATACAATTATCACATTAGCACTGCTTATATAGTGACATTTTTTCTTATAATGCTAAAAATAACTTTTATGTATCCTTTATACATATTGCCTATCTTTTGCAACGAATTTACGTTATTCAAACCAGGGTTATGGAGCCGAGCCGTAGCCGGAGCCGTGGAGCCGCTGTTTTTTGGTGGAGCCGGAGCCGCAAAAATCAAGCAGCTCTTGTCTCTCGTGTTTTTTTTTTAAAGAATAGAATGTATATTTTTTATTTTTTTACTCTAGACAAACTTTATTTATTTATTGTTTAACATTAAATTTCTATTTTTTAAAATATTTTTTCTAACAGTTTCGGTCTTGGAAAAACGTAATAAAAATGATTATTTTAACGATTTTGTACTCAACAAAATACTATTCTTTAATAGTATTTCTTAATATGTTTTATTAAAAAAAAAAATGTAAATTATATATGGAAACATTACAGCTTTATATTATATTTTTATATTATTTTATATGCTTTAAATTATATTTTTATACTGATACTATGCTGTTAAATATTTGATGCGCGATTTAATGATCAAAGGTTATTCATATCTTTAAAACTATATTAAAGCATTCGATCGTTAAACTTGAAACGATGATTTTCGTTTTAAAACTTGTCACTAACTCATTTTTAATGTCTTTTTTTTGCGTAATTACTTTAAGTAATTATAGAATTAAATAAAAACATCAACAAACAAGTCATAAGGTTTCTATGAATTAAATTGTGATTGAAACAGTTAAAAAAAAAAAAACGAAAAAAATGTCTGCACAACAATCTACCAAATTCTTCTGCATTGTTACTTTCAATCGCTAAAGCATCTGAATCTAGCAAAACTATTGTTTGTATGGCATAAAACAATACATGAGCTCTCTATCTATTAAACGAGCAAAAGGATCTGGAAAAAAGAGTGGCTTTAAGGATAAGAAAGCAGCAATTAGTATTCGACGATCATCAATCAAACCCCGGCTTATCGAACAAAGAACAAGGTATAAAGTTTCAGAGTTTTTTAAAGATTAAATTTTGGCAAGCAATATACAGCTGTGGTTGGAGATCTTAAGCTTTTGTCACATCGTCAACTTTAAACTTGGATTTTTACATCCAAAAATATTTGCAAGCTAGACTTTTGCAACTGTTAGTTCTGGCCTAATCTTGCTTCTTGTCATTTTTTAAGAAATTTGATACAATTCAAGAGACTTCAAATTCATTCCAAAAAGCTTGAATCCATTAATCTGCACACAATTCCGTCCCATTGATAAATTTTGGGGAATTGGCAAAGGATATTTGTGTAAGAGTGGCAAAACAAAAAGTACAACTAATGATTTGATTAGAGAGTGAACATTAGCGGGGAAAAAAAATTGTAAAAGACACTGTGCAGAAGTTAATGTCGTCAATTAGCGTAAATGTTCGCTATTCAAAATAATGAAAAATATTAAAATAAGAAGTACTTCTATTATCTTCAAGTTCCTTAGATTAAAATAAATATTGAAGTTTTTGCATTAGTTGAACTATTTCTTGTTTTTTTTTTAATTTTTTATCGTTTTGAATTTATCTATTGCATGTTTTACCCAGTGGGCACGGGACACACAAAAGAGGTCTTTTAAACGTCTTAGAAAGTTTTAGATGCCTTTTGAACGTCTTTGGGACGTGCTCCTTGGGTAGAATTAAGTTTAAAATTCGGACTAAAAACTCTAGTTTTGGGTAAATAATATATAGAAAAAAGTGTTTGTTTACCCAAATAATTTTTCTTTTCAAAGGTAATATCCGGCAGTTGAGTAGAGTAGTGATTGTAATACAATAACCGTGTTTTCAAGAAAGTTAGATAAAAATTAATTGCTGTAGTTGGTATAGTTATGGGTCGACGAATGTGATCAAAACAATTTCCAAAACTTGCGATTTTTGTTCATAAAGTTTGGGAGCCGGATATTTCTTAAGAGCCGTAGCCGAGTCGTAAAAAAAACAGTCGCCTCTACAAGCTTGATTGAAACTAGTATATTTTCTGAATTAATCATGCTTTTGAACTATTTTTTTTTTTTAATGAACCAAAATTTATTTGGTTTTCAATAACAACTAATTTAAATTTGTATTGGCAACATTGTTTTTGCGCAATGTCCACTGTTTGTCCCACTGTGCTGTGGTATACGCTGATTAAGCGAATTTGATTCACGCAATTATGTAAGAAATCTGGATTATTACAAAAAGTTTAAAAGGATTTCTTAGTGAAACACAATATACAATTTTACCTTGAGAAAAAAATGTATCATCTATTATTATACATAATTATTACCGCTAAAACAAAAATTTACTATAAAATATATGATATTGCATATCATATATTTTATAGTAAATATTTTGCAGAATATATGATTTCGAAGATGAGATTTAAAGATTTGAAAATGTATCTGAAGTTAAGAGGATTGGAATTGGTCGCTAGTATATATACTTTAATAAAAATTGTTCCCCTAATAGAATATTGTTTAAATTAAAAATTAAAACGATGTTTAAAATCTTTCATGGCTGAACTAGAGGGTATGGTATTTTGGCAATGTTGTATCCAGATATCTATTTTTGTTTAACTATTAGAAACTAATTTATGTTTAACCGATTAGAACTTGGAAGTCTTGAATAATTACAAAAACTCAACATCATACAGTCCTACTAAATTTGTGAAATTGGGTCAGCAAAATTAACGTCTATTCTGATCGCTATGATTTCATTCCTTACCATAACTAAATTACGTTTGGAAACCTAAATAATGATTTCCAGAAGTTCAACTTTTAATTTTTATAAACTGTTAAATGCTTTTAAATTGTCATACAATTAGACAAAATCGTTGATTTATAATGGCTTATCTATGCTTTTTCTTTTAAGATAAAGTGTTAAAACAGATAATCTTGGACCATCAGCTTGAGCCTTTATTGAATAGAATACGAATCTATTTTTTCTTTCATTTTACGAGTGTTTCTTTAATCTACAAATGTTTTAAAAACTTAAGTTCGCTGTTTTCAAAATCAATGTCTAGGGGTTAAAAAACTTAAATACTCCTTAGATAATTTATAGGCGCTTCTTTACAACATTCAAATTTGTTCATTTCTCACTCTCTTGCGTTTTAAAATCAGTTCATTTCAGACCCACTTATATTATTTCACGCTCATGTCGCATAGTTTTATAACGAAAATACAAAGGAAATTATTTATAAGAAATTTAAAGAATATTAAAAAAAAAAAAACAATGGTATTGATTAAAACTTTATTTCTGTGCTTTTTTGGGACCAAACGGTTGTCCTTTTTCTGCACCACGCAACTTTATTTCTAAAAAAAATATAACAAGCAATCAGAATAATCGAATAAGTGATAAACAAACAATTAGAATTATCGATAAGCAATGACAATAAATGACAATTTCAAGAAACGAAAAATTATTATAAAAATCAGTTTATAACTAGCTTGTTGGACGCTATCCGGATATTTTAGTTTGGCATTATAGATTGCATTGAGATATTTATAAAAGACGAATCCATAAAGTACGTACGCAATAAAACCACTAATTTAGGACCCCCTCCCTCCCTTTTTGTATTAGACACTAACGATTTTCAACTTTTTTTAAAAAAAAATCAATTACTTCAAGCAAGAGTACTTTTATTAGACCATTAAACTATGATGTGCAAAATTTGAAAGTGAAAACTAATGCTTTTGTTTAAAAAAACAATCAAGAAATCAAGTTTTAGGATAGATAGCGAATAATAGAAAACTACGTACGTACTCGCTGTCTTTAACCCCCTCCCCCTACTTGAATGCATTCGTAAGTTTTTGGGCTAGCCCCTCTCCCCTCTCATACATGCGTACGTACTTTATGGAAGACCCCAAAGCACGTAGTAGCTTAATTATTCATAAACATTGTACAGTAAGCTCTTAGTTGAAATATTAACTAATAGTTTCCACTATAAAATGAGGGTGTCTCCGATATTTTCATGGTATGCGATTAAATTTTCATGCTTGAACCAAAAACAACGGCTAACAGTTCAAAATAAAAACGCTCGACTATAAAACTTTGAAAAAACAGTTTATAGGGTGAATCTGATGCAGAAGTACGAAATAATAGTAATCCCGTTAACTCGGACTCTTAAGGTGTGTGTGTGTATATATATATATATATATATATATATATATATATATATATATATATATATATATATATATATATATATATATATATATATATATATATATATATATATATTGTCTGACTTAACGAATGTCCGAATAAGGCGAAGCTCTGATTATGGCGGACCACTATTAAGTTGGGATTCGCTAGGAAAAAAAGAAAAGAGTTGTAAAGAAAGGAAACGGCTGACAGAAGAATTGAAAAGTTAAAGGTTCTATGTGTCAGAAAAATACGAAGATGGGAGAGAGTTTTGAAGGGTTGAAGTGCAGAAAAAAAACTAGACAAATAAAAAATTTTTAGAGTATGCTGGGACAGATACAGTAAAAGAATGAGACTTAACTGAACGACGAGTCAAGCCAGAATGAGTTTTAGTTGATGGAACTAGAGATAATAGCTCTATCGAGCAGCGACCATGATGTTATTTGCAGAGAAGAGAAAGAGATGCAACTTTACGACGATGTGAAAGAGGCAGACACGCCGGAAAAGGGTAGCCTAAGGTAGCAACTGCTACTCCTGCCTTTTTTGTTGGGATGGCAAGGGTAGCATGAATGTGCCCTTTCTAGAAAATAGGTATGGTAAATTTTTGTGCTTTAAAAGCATTTCATTATCCAACATTTCATTATCAATATTTTAATATCAATATCTACCAACTGGAGCTGGTAATAGGTGGGATAGGCGGCAATAGATTAATTTTTTAAAGAGAAAACAATTTAAAATTAAGTTTTTTAAAGAAACTTTAAAAAAAATTATATTGAAGAGAATGGAAGAACTTGTATTAAGGCTTGGTTTAAAGAGTTTAGTTTGTTATTTTATGATTAATCGCTAAAAGCTATTTTTTGTAAAAACTGTACAAAATATGATTCATGTTCTGGTGGAGTGTTCAAGCATGGAGTTGGGAAAGGATTTAGATCACGAAGAATACAGTTTTCATAAGGCTCCAAGTGCTCTAAAGAATGAGAAAGAAAATATAAAGTTTACAACAATTAATGCTCAAATTGATTAAATGTACAAGAGGAAGAAAGCAGTTCGAAGAAAAGACTTGCTAGCTCATTTCAGAGCATTGAAGAAAACATTGCTTCAACAGGGTGTAGCTATAATAGGTGATAATGATGAAGAATCCAATATTTACCAGTTTAATTTGGATAAGAGTGAAAGTGGCAAGGCATTATAAATATTGATGATTGAAAACCATTATGTTTTATCTCATGACATCTTGCAAGAGCAAGAAACACTTTTCATAAAAACAAAGGAAGATTGTTGAACTGATCAAAGATTAACATTTCTATTTGGTACTTGCAGATGAATCCTCAGATATTACTAAGAAGGAACGAATGTCTTTAATATAAGAACTTGCAGTGACAACTATGAAGTGAATGAAGATTTTATCGGAGTATATGAATGCGTCAATGGTCTTTCTTCAGATGTCTTGGTGACATATGTTAAAGATATCCTTTTGAGATGCAACTTGGAATACACAAAAGTTACTGGAATTGGCTTTGATGGAGCATCAGTAATGAAATGCTTGGCAGCAAAACTGAAAAATATTTTTGGACAGCAAGCACAATATTTTCATTGCATGGCACATTGCAGCGAGCTGGTTATTAAGGGTATATATGCAATATCATCAGTACTGTCAAATTCTCTCAGCATTGCCCAGCCAATTTATGTATTTGTTGGGGCATATCCAAGGAGTGTTGCCTTTTTTAAACAAATCCAAAAGGATATATTGCGTGAATCTGAATCAGAAGAATACAAAATATTGCAACTGAAGTCAATGTCAATGACTTGATGGTCAACACGAATAAAAGCAATACAAGTGGTGTTGGAGAAGATTGCAGAACTCTGTACAATATTGAATAGTCTTCAGAGTGACAAGACTATTGCTGCAGAAACAAGAGAACAAAATAAAGGTTTATTATCTCAGCTTTCATCAGTAAAGACACTTTTTGAACTGCAATTCACTTTTGAACTTTTTGCTATTTTAGAGAATTTATCAAAGCAGTTACAAGAAATTAATCTCATTGGTGATGTCACAGTATTCTGCATTCGAAATGCATTTCAGAGATTTTAATAAAACTTTTCAGAGACTTTAATAAAACTTTAAAGGTGACAAAAAAATACCTGGAATCAAGCAAGACAATGAGTCTGAAACCGAAGTTATGCAGAGACAAAAAGTAATACCTAAAACACTATGCGATTCAGTAATTACTGAAAAGCTTAAATTGATTGGTCCTGTCAAATCTGAGTAAAAACTAAAGAAATCTTATTTTAAAGCAACTGATGCTATTCAGAACAGTCTGAGTGAGAGATTTGAACAAGGTGAATTAACTGCTGTAAAAAATATAAAAGAAGTTTTGATTTCATGGGTGAATAAACAAGATGATCCACGGTTTTTATTAGAAATGTCATTTTTAAGTGATGTTAACATCTTGGAACTAAAAGTTGAGTTAAAGGGGCTATCAACAATTATTAACCTGTACAATGCTATTGCATCAATCAAAATACAGAGTGTTTCCAGAGTGGCAACAATTACAGATATTTTCAATGCCATGCCAGCTGCAAAAGTTGCCAATAAACAAACACACAAATTAATGATGCTTTACTACACCATGCCTCGATCGACATCATCATGTGAAAGAAGCTTTAGTGGAATGAGGAGAGTAAAAACAGGGGTCACAAACTGGAGGCAATCACCTGAACAACATCATGTATGCTCAGATAAACAAAAAAATAAATCAACAAAATTAACATTTAATTTTGGACCTTGTCAAGAAAAGAAAGAGTATCATTAGAAGAACCAACCCAAATATGACAACAGTATTTCATGCAGGGACGAATAAGAGATTTGTTGAGGTAGAGAATGGAATCAAGAGAGAAAATGGAGAGCAGGATTAAGAGAAGCAACCTTAGTAGATGCTAATTTAGCAATCAATTGTACATATGGTTTCCATGAAAGGCCAGTTGTAAACGATAATCCAAGACATAATGAAAAAGACTCAGTGAGAGAGTTGCCACTCTTTTTGACATTATTGCATTATGATGTCGACAGTATTGCAGTAAATAACTGTCACAATACTGTTACAATACTAAAAAGAGTTTTGTTGGAGTTGAAATTTACAAGCCACTGTAAGCTCCAATCTGTTACAAAAGTGATATCAGATTCAAGATTGGCCTGTACTAAGCGATCGAAAAGAGAAGACTTTATGTCAAGATATGAGTATAAAGTTGAGCAAAAATAGATTGTATTAGATGTAAGGTTGTCGGGAAGATTATTAATGTAAATAAGAAACAAAAGAGGACCAAGGATAGAACCTTGAGAAACCCCCGAAACTACTAGAATTGAAGAAGAGTGTTGGCATCTTCTCTGGCTATCTTTTGTATGTTTTTTTTTTTCCTTCTGACTTATGAATTTTTTTTTCTTTTTACCATCCAGACAATGTTTACTTTGGAATGCCATATTTCTTAGGTATAGATACAGATGATTTTCCTTGGTCGAGTGCTTTTAATATTATATATTTTTCTGTTGTTTTTTTCTGTTCTACTTTAAAGCTTTCTTTTGACAACTTTTGACATTTTCAATAATATTTAATCAAAAATTTACCGAATCGAAGATATCTATTAAAATGTTTAGTTTGTTAAATTATATTTGACGCAAAGGTATTTAACTTTCGAACAATCTAAGTTTTAAACTTTAATTGATGTTTTTGAATTATTATTATAATAATCATTAATAAATTATTATGCGGTAGTGGTGTAGTGGTAGAGCGCTCGCTTCATAAACTTCATAATTCGGAGTTCGATCCTCACCACGTCCCTGGTAGTACCGCGCTCAACTCGTTTCTCCGCGCAGCGGCCTTGTTCATCAAGGTTCGTGTTTCGGAGTTATAGAGTTGAGAGAGGGTTATAGCCACAAATAAGTAGCCTCCTCGTCTGTAGTGGCCTTCTCGGCCTTGAGGAGGTGAATTAAATTAAAAAAAAAAAAAAATCATTAATAAATAGAACTTAATTGAAGCTTGACTGAGTTGAAGGTATTGGTGAAAACTTTTAGCTTCATTTAATTTGACGCATAGTTATTTTATTTTTGAGTGTTCTAAGTTCTTAATTGGAATTTTTGTTATCATATGCACTTATATGCAATTCAAAATAAAAGTTCTAAATAAGCGAGTATTTTACCGAAGAGACCCCAAAGAACAGTATGAGTTAGCAAATGGTCCGATTTAACTGGGTACAATGTAACAGGGTAGCGGATGATTTTACAGTAAGTTGATAAAGTTTAAAGGAAATCGAAAATCCGTACGATTTATCCAGGGCCTGAATTTACGGGATTCTAATGTAGTTTTAGTAAGATTATATCATGGTCTGAACCAACTAAAGAGAAAGAAGAAACAGAACACAAGCTAGGATTAGAAAGGAAACACAAGTCAAGGTAAGTGATTTGGATTGTCAGAAAAGCAAGTCTCAAAGTTAACTACCTGGGTAAGATTTTTTTTAGATTTAACGTCAGTATAATGAGAAAGAACTTGATCAATTTGAGCAGATATAAAACCGAAGAGTGCAGCCCTGAGAAGAAAAAGAACAATTAAAAAAATAATAATAATAAAATAAAAAAGAAAATTGAAAGCACATAAAAAAACAGTCAGAGGATTCAAACCTGATTTTGCAACAAATAGGTGAACTGATATGTATAAGTAGATACCCAGGCCAAGCATGTAAAAATTATGATCAAATAGAAAACAAATTTAAATCGGATATATTAAGTATTTCTGGTGAACTTTGCAAAAGATTCAACAGATGATAACTGTTGACTTTTTTATTACAACAGATAAAAAGTAACTTAAAACATGAATATTTGTTATAAGGTTGATTGAAACAATTTGGGGGTAATACTGTTTTTTTTTAGTTGCCTCATTACTGCTAATAAATCAAGTTGTTACAAAGGCTATTTTATATCACAAAGTTCAGGAAACTTTACTACTAGCTAATGACCCTTTGTGATTATTTTAAAATTAATATTAGAGCTAGTTCTAAAAAAAAGTTCCTGCACCAAGACACCCGACCACATGGTAGGTGTCATATTTTCCCAAAAATATTTTTCTCATAAAGTTGGACCTCAAAAGAAGTGAATTTTATAGAAATTTCACGTTTTTTACCATATCTTTTATTTAGGAAATAAAAGATATAGTTAAAAAACGTCTTGAAAAGTTTTTAAAAATATTTTTGGTAATATATGATACGCATGTTGCCGTATTGGTGCGGGAACTGTTTTATAAATTGAACAAAATAAATGCGATTTTCTTGATAAGTATTAATGTGTTCATTTATTCCTACTACAGGCCAAGAAATTATTTTTTTGTCATAACTCTATTGTACACTTATTACTCTCAGACTACAGAGAGTACACTCAGATAACAGATAAAGTTACCAAGTTAGTTAAAATATTTTTCATATTTTAACTAACTAGATAACTTTATCTTGTCACTACCAAGAAGTCAAAAGCAAAAACCCATGTTACCAGCAGCAGGATGATAGTAATCCTTTTTTTTTAGTACATCTCTCCTCACAAAAAAAAAAAAAAAATGAAGTTTTAAAATCTAGTTAATTCATTTAATCGTAATTTGCTGAGAATTAATCAACAAAAAATTTTTTAAAATAAACTTACCTATAACTCTTTCAATTTTGCTGAGTATCTGATTATTTGGTATTGCTCTGCCTGCTTCATAATCATTAATTACTTGTGGCTTTTCGTTAATTTTCTTAAAAAAAAAAAAAAAAAAAAAGAGGAAAAAAAACTAAACTTAAGTAACTAAAACTTAAAGTAAATTTTAAAATCCATTTTAACTAAAATACTAGGATACAACTAACACACACTAACAAATAATTGATTTTTAATTATAAAAATATAAAGTTTAAATTTTGTTTTAAAAATATTTTATGCTATTACCTTGTGTAAAAATTATTTTAAGTAAACTTTATGAATTTTAAACAAGGTAATAAAACATAAGTTTGTTTTGAATTTGGAAAAAAGAACTTTATGGATATGCTATCATGCCAAAACAAGTCTATTTTTCATTCATTTCATATTTTTCTATTACATTGCCTAAAAACTTTAAAATATTAACATTTTTACACTGCCAAATTTTAAAAAAAATGTTAAAATATATTAATTTTGAATTCTTATCATGCATAGGACCAAATTAAAAAAAAAGAACTTTTTTAATTTGGCTTTTAACAAAAACTATAAATAATTTAAAAAGTTAATAAAGTTTTAGGTTAAACATTAATAAGATCTGAACAATTTTAATAATAAATTTCTTGATTTAAATTAAATTATTCTGAGTGCAGTTAATGTAATTAAATCTGATTATATTTAATGTTATCAATTCTGAATTTTAATTCATAGTAGTACTTAATTTTTGAACGAAAACAAAAACAAATGTAATCTTACTCTTTTTCAAAGGTTGCGTTACTAAACACATACAACCTTTATTATTAAATTAAAATATCATATTGTTAAGATCTCGAATCAATTAGGGGTCATCCATAAAGTACCCACCCCCCAATTTGCCGTATGCTTTTTTGAGTACTCTCTACCTCCCTAAAAGTACTTACGCCTTTAACCTACTAACCCAACATTTTATGATATTTTTTTAATTTAGTGTCTCCATTCTTTTATAATTGACCTACTGCCCCCTTATCTCAGAAACGCCATTTGCAGACCTCCTCTTCCTCTTCGAGCGTACTTTATGGACGAGCGTACGTACTTCGAGCATATGTACTTTATGGACGATCCCTCATGTTAAAGAAAGCTTTTTGTATAAAAATTTAAAATATTTTCACAATTTACAAAATTTTATCTTAGTTTCTTAAATTGTAAATTTATTGAAAATTAAAAAAACACTTACTGTTGCAAGATCTTTTTGTGTCAATTCTTTAGCTAAACGGCCTTTTTGAATTAATTTGCCAACTTCAAGTGGTACGGTTTCCACTAAAAGTAAAATATAATATGCATGACGATATATATATATATATATATATATATATATATATATATATATATATATATATATATATATATATATATTCCAATACAATATCACACATAAAAAGGTTTTTAGTCTTTTGAATTAATTCTATCATATAGCATAATGCTGAACTTATAAAGTGTCTATTCAAGCTTGTTTCACACAGAACTCTTGGCAGCCATTGCAATTGATGTAATAGCAAGAAAGAGTCACAGCACTTTTGTAACTTATGTAAACTTATGTTATGATAAAATATATTAAAACATTTATCAAGCTTTAAAATTTTACTTTTACTTGAAAACTGTATTCAGCAACATATCCTTAATTTTAATTTATAGAATTTATTTACCATTTATAGTTTTAAAATCAGATAAAACATTTTTATATACTAAAATAAATATTAAAAAATATATAATGTTTTATACAGGATGGTGTGTAATGTAAGAAAACTTTTCTAATAATTTCAAGTCTTTTTTGCTTAAACTGCTTTGTTTTGAGTTTTATGTATTTAAATTATTGTATTTAAAAAAATTAATAGAATTGAAAAAATATGAATCATATTGTCTCATCCAAGTAAAAAATTGAATAAGTTATTTTACTAAAAAATATTGAAGTAAATAAGGAATTGGTATAGGGTCATTCCGTGCCAAGTGGTGCAAATTTTAACGAGGTCCCTCATGGACCATCTCAAATTTTATTGAAATTTTTTGATTTTGTACATATATATGTTAAAAGCATGTTTTGAAAATTTTAGATCAATATATAATATGGTTCTTGAGAAAACGCTATTTAAGTAGTGGGCTATTTTGCATAAAATTTCACTCTACAAGAAAAAAGGTTTTTTTCATCATTTTTAACAGCCAATAACTTTTGAACAATTGAGTTTTATACTTCAGTTATTATAAGATAGCAAGTGTGCTGTAAATACTTTGGAAAAAGAAAAAAATTTCAATTTTGGCATCTTAACTTTTTCCATAATAGCGGGCTAAAGTTGAGATTTTTGTTTTTAAAATAGTTTTTTTTGTGATTTTAATGATCTTAATCTTGAAAACTAATTAAAAGATTAATAAAAATCAAATTGCCTGCTGATCTACATGTGGTGGATAAACATTTTTAAAAAAATCAGTTGATTAAAGAGCAGCATTTAAAAGTTATAGGTCTCCAAAATGAGTCGGATCAAGATTTTTGTAAAATTGATCTGTGATGCAAAGCATCTGTTACCTAAGATGGCACTTTTTTTTTTCATAAAATTTTTTATACGCATCAATTAAAGAGTGTTAATTTATAAAAACCAAAAAAATTAATGGGCGCTTATTTATAACCCCCAAAAGGTAGTCTCTAAAAGTCAGGTAAATTTTCCATAAAAAATTATTACTTTTTAAAAGTTAAGTTATTGTTTCATTTAATTCTATATTACTAGTATGTCAATATAAAAAGTACTAATTAAACCAAATAAATTGTTGTATTTTAGAACTAATTAATAATAAGTAATATGCCTGAGCTTTCTACTTGCTGTATTGGTAAAGCATTAAATGAACAGTGCTATCTATCTAAAAAAAGTAAACGCTACCAAGAACTGTCTACACTAAACCAAGAGCTTATTTCTTTGAGAAGCAAAATAAATCCCATAGATTTTATTTGTAGCTATCACGAGAAAGTTTACTTGTCGAGGTATGAGAATGAACATCGCAGGTATTGTTGTAATCCGTTGAACAAGCACGCAAAAAAAGTGAAAAGTAAGTTTCAATATTTAATATCTTAATTTAATAAAAATACCTTAATAACCTACCTAATAAATACCTAAATAAATACCTAAATAAATAAAAAAAACAATATTTAATAATTATTTCCGTTATTTTTTAGATTCTCTTAGAGTTATCAGTCTTTCATATGCCAAAGATTTCGGTTTAATACCTGGTCAAAAAATTTGCACTAGTTGCAGAAAAGTTATGAATTGCAAACATAATACAAAAGAAACTGAAGTCCAAGAAAAAGAAATTTATGTTGACAACCATACATTAAAAGAAGATCTTAATTCAAGTATTGCAAGTTTTGGATGCTCACCTCTCAAACTTGTTTCAAAAAAAGATAGAGTTGCATATGGAAAGCGTAAAATTGATAGCGTAAGAGCTCATACACAAAAGGCTGTTGCCAATGTGCTAGGTTTAGAAATAGCTGCACTTGGTGGAATTGAATCACCCTCAAAAAAATGTTTGAAAAAAACAAACACAGATTTAGACAATATTATGACTCAAATTAAGTCAAAATTTGAAAAAACATTGTCAAATTCTGAAAAAATCACACTTCTTACACTCACTCCAGACAGTTGGTCAATAGAGAAAACTCAGAAGTTTTTTTTGATCTGTAGTACAAGCCAGAAAATTAAGGAAAAAAAGTGGAATACTATCAAAACCTTCTCCAAAATTGGGTAGAAAACTTAGCGAAGATGTAATTACAGAGGTTGTTCATTTCTATGAATGCGATGAATATTCAAGGGTTTGTCCAGGAAAAAAAGAGTTTGTTTCAGTTAAAGTAGATAGTATAAAGCAACATATCCAAAAGCGACTTCTACTAGTCAATATGAAAGAGCTACATATTGAATTTAAAAAGAAATATAATTATCTTAAAGTTGGATTTTCAAAATTTTGTGAGCTAAGGCCCAAGTGGTGCATTCCTGTGGGTGGTGCTTCTGGTCTGCATGCAGTTTGTGTTTGCCAGTACCATCAAAATGTAAAGCTCCTTGTACAGAAAATTCCTGGAATTGCTGATTACAAAATCTTATTGAAATTAATGGTTTGTAGCATTGAAAATAGAGATTGTATGCTGCATAGCTGCAATAAATGTCCTGCTAAAAAGGTTTTGTTAGACTACATTGACACTTTGTTTACAGAAAATGAAATTAGTGAAGTTAACTTTTATCAATGGCAAAAATCAAATTACCAATGTACTTTAGTACCAGCAACTCTACCTTTAGATGAATTTATTGAAATGGTTTATGAAAAATTAGATAGTTTACGAGAGCATCATTTTATATCCAAAAGTCAAGCCACCTACTACCAACATTTGAAAACTAATTTAAAAGAAAATCAAGCTTTAGTTCTTCTTGACTTTGCGGAAAACTATAGTTTTCTAATACAGGATGCAGTGCAAGGTTTTCACTGAAACAACAGCCAAGCAACTGTGCACCCCTTTGTTGCGTATTTTAAAAAAAGATGGAAAACTTGATAGTCAAAGTTTTTGTGTTATATCAGATCATCTGAAACATGGAACAGATGCTGTTCATTGCTTTATCGGTAATGTTATTGATAAACTTAAACAATTACAAACATTTGAACACATTATCTATTTTAGTGATGGAGCTGCATCACAATATAAAAATTACAAAAATCTTATCAACTTATGCTACCATAAAAACGATTTTGACATGACTGCAGAGTGGCACTTTTTTGCAACATCGCATGGTAAAAGCCCTTGTGATGGTGTTGGTGGAACAGTGAAACGTCTTGTTGCACGAGCCAGTTTACAATCACTAAACGATCCTATTGACACACCAAGCAAAATGTACAGCTGGTGTGTTCAACATGTCAAAGGAATATCTTTTTTTTTTGTTGACAAAGTTTCAATAGAAACACATACTACAAACTTTAATTTGGAAGAGAGATATCGTTCTTGTTCTACAATAACTGGGACACGAAACCACCACAGTCACTTACCTCAATAAAAATAAGAAGAGTCTCATTTGATATTATTTGCACTAATGTGGATTTTTCTACTTGCAGAATTTTTATTAATAAAATTTCAAGTTACTCACCAGGAGAATATGTGGCCTGCGTTTACGATGCTCAATGGTATTTAGGAAATATTCTTAGTATATCAGAAGAGCATCAAGATCTTAATATGAAATTCATGAAAAAGTCTTTATGTAACAAGTTCACGTGACCATGCAGAGATGATCTTTGTTGGGTACCTCTGATGCATATTTTATGCAAAGTGCAATCTCTTAAAGTCCAGTCAAACAGTGGAAGATTTTATAGTATTGACTTAAAAGAAATCAATGAGATTATTTTATTATTTGAGAAATTTAACTTTTTGTAAATTTTATTAATTTTGTTTATTTTCTTAAAAACATTTTGTTTGTTTTTCATTAAAAAAAATATTGTATTATGAAGAGGGGAGGGGACAGAGGGGAGGGGACTTTATCTATTGGGATTTAAAAGTTCTTTATCTAAAGGGATTATAAGGCTATAAACATTGATATTTTTTAATTGATATTTCATAATAAATAACATTATATAATTCAATGCATTTATTTATTATGTCAATTTCAGAATTTTATGGAAAATTTACCTGACTTTTAGAGACTACCTTTTGGGGTTATAAATAAGCGCCCATTAATTTTTTTGGTTTTTATTAATTAACAGTCTTTAATTGATGTGTATAAAAAATTTTATGAAAAAAAAGAAGTGCCATCTTAGGTAACAGATGCTTTGCATCACAGATCAATTTTACAAAAATCTCGATCTGACTCATTTTGGAGACCTATAACTTTTAAAATGCAGCTCTTTAATCAACTGATTTTTTTAAAAATGTTTATCCACCACATGTAGATCAGCAGGCAATTTGATTTTTATTAATCTTTTAATTAGTTTTCAAGATAAAGATCATTAAAATCACAAAAAAAACTATTTTAAAAACAAAAATCTCAAATTTAGACTGCCATTATGGAAAAAGTTAAGATGCCAGAACTGATATTTTTTTTTTGTTTCCTAATGTATCCACAGCACACTTGCTAACTAAAAATAACTGAAGCATGAAACTAATTTGTTCAAAAGTTATTGGCTGTTAAAAATGATGAAAAAAACCTTTTTTCTTGTAGAGTGAAATTTTATGCATAATAGCCCACTACTTAAATAGCGTTTTCTCAAGAACCATATTATATATTGATCTAAAATTTTCAAAACATGCTTTTCACACATATATGTACAAAATCAAAAAATTTCAATAAAATCTGAGATGGTCCATAAGGGACCTTTGCACCACTTGGCATGGAATGACCCTATAGAAATCATTTATATAAATATTGTTTATGTTAAGTTATTTAAAAAAATAAAAAGGATATTTTAAACAACTACAACTCATTAACCCATTTTTAGTTATATTATACATAAATTATACATATTATTTATATTTATTTAGCATTGTATCTATTGCATAAATTACTAACTATATATTTATAAGCAAAAAAAAAAAAAATAAAAAACATTAGATAATAATAGGCTTTATTTTCCTAAAAATTTTTTTTAAATCAAAAAATAATAATAAAAAAATTAAATAAAAACATGTAAAAACAAAAACCTTTTAACTCTTCAGTATCCCTACATACAGCTGAAGTATCACGAGACCCCATATGTTGCTTATTACCTCCACCACCAACTATTGAAAAAAAACTTTATAATTATGCAAACAATAAATAAAGTTTACAATAATGAATAAAACAATATTAAATACTAGTTTATAAAAATAATAATTTATAAGAATACACCATTTAAATATTGGAATAACAACTTACATTTTTTTGAAGTTTCAATTTCAGTGCCACTTCGCATAGCTGAGTTAATAGCCTATACATATTATATACTATTATGGATTTTTTTAAGTAGCTTAACTTGACCTTAAAAAATTTTATATGGACATCAACTGAAAAAAATAAGGAACTAAAAAAACAAAAAAATCATGTAGGGGGATTTCATGTGAAAACATCCAAGGCATGCAAACTTAATTCTCAGATTTTGCTGATTTTTACACCACTGAAAGATTTAAATAAGTTATGAACATTTCCAAAATTTTATCATTTAATTCCGAACAGTTTTAAAGGTGTGACTCTTAAATGTATACAGTTACACAGCAGTTGATGTTATGCATACAATACACAGCAGTTGATGTTTAATAATTTTCTAAAAATTTTCCTACCAACCCCAAAAATTCCCATCCATCCTTTTATTCCCATCCCACATTGTGTTAAGCAATTGAGAGTAACTTGACAGTTATAAAACAGAAACAGCTTTATTCATATCAAATTGTTTGTTTACTAGTTGCTGACTTGCTTTTTCTGTTTTCTTGGTAATTTTATAATTTCCAATTCTATATCTCAAGAATTTATTAAAATTTTAATGGGGGTGAGTTGAATTAAAAAATGCAGATGAATAGGTTCTTTTTTTTTTTAATGTCTTTAATAATTTAGTTAGAATTATATAAATTGGATTGTGATTTTTCATAAAACAGAAATAAGAAACATAGTCAAATGTATTTAATTAGTAGATAAATTTAATGAGGAAATTTAGAATCATAACCTGACTTTTTTATTAAATGTTTCTAAGAATTTTATAAAATTTTTATTACTAAACTAAGCAAGTTTTACTTACTAAATTAGTTGTTATGAATAATAAACAGTTGCTTTTTTATTGGCCAACATTTAAAGTAAACAATTACTGGTAAAAAACATCAATATTTAATAAAGTTGTTTACCATCAATTTCTGCATTTCATTATTTTAGCACTTTCTAAATTATACGTGCCACAACGTGATTTGTATGATGGGGCATTTATTATTTTATTTAATTTGGCATTTAATAGTTTATAAAATTGAGCCTAAAACCTAATTCATAGTCAGAATGTAATAATCATTAGAATAAACAACATATAAACAATATAGCTTTGTTTTTTTACAAAAAAAAATTTTAAACAAAATAGTTCTCACAGCAATAGGGAAGGGACTTCTAGTTAAACGATATACTGCAATAGTAGTAAATGTTATTGGTAATTCAGGAGGTGTTTCTAATTTTGCGCTATCTTATTCAATTGGATTTACAGTTGTAGAGGAAGTTGTAAATAAAGGAAGAGAAATGAATATAAAACATACTGGTCACATAATCAAACAAAATTTAGCCTAATATTCTTGTTAAACTCTTTCAATCAATAGACAAATCAAGTTTTTGTTCATATGTCATAAATGAGGGGAGATAGGAAAGGAAGGCAGAGGGGGAAAGAAGGGATTGATAAACAGGAGGGTAGAAATTTTTATTTTTATAGCACTCCAAATATGGCCAATCAACAATCAATGATTGGCTATTTTTAGGGAAATTTCAAAAAATTCAAGGGAAAACAACCTGCTTTTGTGAAAAAATTACATTTGATCGGCAAGCTTTGAAAAACTATTTTGAGCGCTGTTTCTATAAGTGAGTTTATATTTTTTAATTTTTGTGACCTGAATGGTCTCAGAAATGAGAAAATAATAAATAAAAATTATTTTTTGTTTTTAGTTTTGAGATACAGTTTCTTTGTTTACAACAAGTAAAATCAAGGATGCGGATTTCAAAAAGGACTGCCGCTATAAATCTCTATTTTGTCCTGGTCTCTGGTGTCCGGAAGCTCTAAACATGTTGGTTGATGATCTGAAAAAAAAATTCAGTTTTAATAGGTTGGAAGTTATTTTTTTTAAGCCTGGAGTCATTACTGGCATTATACCTAAGATTACTGGTTCAAAAACTAAAAGTTTTTTTCTTACTAGTAGTCCATAAGCTTTTTTATACTTTTAGAGCTCCTAGATACTAAAAACTAGGAAGTAATCTTTTTGTGACTTTCAAACCGTAGTCATTTTTGGGACTCCACATCCCTGAATAAAATTCAATAAACAGGGGGAGGGGTTTTTAATAAGATCAGGGTGGGTGGGATTTATTAAACATCAACTGCTGTGTATTAAGCATTTAAGAGTGCCACCTTTTTTTATTTCATTTTTCATAATTCCTGTTTTTTAAGTAACAAATTTAAGTAAATTTGACCATGTTTTTTTTTTGTTTAAGAAAAGACCACTCTCCAATTCTTTTTAATAACTCTAACTAAACTATTCAGGACAACATCTAAAAATACACTTTCAGGTCGGCAGTTAGATCGGCATTGCTAAACGCCGACCCTAATTCAGAGGGTTGGAACAGAAAAACCATTTTTTTAAACGGCAGATTTCTGTTGGTTCATAGCAAAGTTTGAAGAGCCATATCTTTGAAACTGTTTGGAAACTAATTAAAATCTTTTAGTGGTGTAAAAATCAGCAAAATCTAATCTTTAGGGTTACATTTTATAAAAAAATTAGATGCTTTAACATGGAATTGCTATGTAGTAAAGTTTTTTATAGACTGGGCTCTTAATTTAAACTAGTATTTAATTATTTTTTAAGAATATTAGGCATTTTAACATCATAAATAATAAATCTTTTATTTTGACCATTGATAATGTATTTTTTTAAATGAAAATTTCTAAATAAATAATTTCTAACAACCACATGTATTTTTCTATTCAAATTTGCTTAACTATTTATAAAAATACTTAAAAAAATTACCTCTTGACTTTGCATTAAAGTAATCTTTAAAATATGTATTTTAATAAAACAGTGAAAAAAAAAATTTCAAAAATAGAATGTTACCATAACTTCCAAGCCTTTGATCTATCTATTACAATTTTGCAAGGTAGACTATAGGCCAAGTACAATGTCAAAACAAATATCATATTCAGATTCCTTATCATTAAAATGATACTGGTACTTATGCTCAGCTCTATCACATGTATAGTTTATGTTAGTTGTATAGTAACCCACAAAACAAAACCAACAGTAAAATCAAATTGGCTTCCAAACATTAAAAATTCCTATCTAAATAACCTATTTAATAAAATAAACTAAAATGTAAACTAAAATGTTGAAAAATTTAGAAAAGATAAAAAAGACCCCCATCCTTGCATCACTAGTACGCCACAGATACATTTTAATTGCTCTCTTTATGACTCAAAACTGCCATTCTCTCAGGAATTATTGTTCTCTAAAACTTTTTATACTAATTTGTAAACATACACATTTTTGAAAATTTTAAAAAATTGCTTTAGATTTAGGTTAATCATGTCAGGAGGCACACCAGGGAAGCTGGGATACAACCTCAACATGGTTTCTAATCATCTTTATGCCATTTTTTTAAATTCCAATTTGTAAGGATTTAAATACAAAATATCAAAGTTGTTAACATAAATAAAGTAAAATGAAATAATGGTCATTATCTGATAATGATCCATTGTTATTTTTCTAATTGAAATGGATTTTTTTTATTTAAAATGATTATAATAAATCTTTTTGGGCCAAAAGATTTTTCATAATCATTTTAAATTTTTCAATACAAAAATTTATTTAATTTAGAAAAATAACAATAGATCATTATCAGATAATGACTATTATTTCATTTTGCTTTCTTTATGTTAGCCTAGAATTTGGGCTTTTTGCTTGACCCTAAACACAATAATTTATTTTATTTAAAATTACTGAAGCTCACTTTAGATGATCTTGCTTCTGAAGCTTTTACAGTCTTCTTACGCAAGTAAGTAACATCATCCCAACCAACTTCAGCCATTTTCAGATTTAAAAGAACTATTTATTATTATTAACTTAAATTATGAAAAGTAGACATTTAAAACAGTTGCACGTTTTTTTTTTGACAATTATTATTCCGCATAAACTGCTTGTGAAAAGTGTCCGGAGTGACCGCACGCAACACCGAATATTACTCTAAAAACGGGTTTATTGATCGTTTTGATTTTAACTACGACTGATTTCACAAAAGGTGAACCAAATTCACATTTTTTATAATGCACAGAAAATGAAATATAGTATTTTATTTTTTGTACAAAACATACTAATTTGTCATAAAATTAGGTACTAACGTATTACAATATCCCTGATGTTTTTTTAATACTTCTGTATTAAAAAAACATCAGACCTGCAAGTGTGGGAAAATATAAGTTTTATTTAACTGAACACAAATCTTTTCGACTTGTGTTAATAAAAGTGCTAGTTATGTTGAGTGATTATTTTCTCAAGAAATATTTACCAACACACATGTGATAGCATTTAAGTAAAATAAGACGGCGGCCCGCTGTTTCATCTTTAAAAATATTGAAGTAATTCCTAGTAAGTCAATAAGTGGTAACACATATAACGAAAACGCAAATTTTTTAATGCTGCACTGTTTTTAACATCATGACTCAATATTATAAACTTGTTTAACTAGATGCTTCATTTATACTTTATATCTTGTGGCTTTGATTTTAATTGCCTTTTAAATTTATGATAATATAGTTGGGTAACCCACGTAACGATAATTACTACCACGTATCTATGAATATGGATATCTATAAAAAAAATATGTATAAATAGTATGTACAAATGCAATGAATCTATTTATAGGATTCCTTAAATTGGCGCATTTTAACGCAACTTCACGTGATTTGCAAATTTTCTCAGCGTTTAAATTAAACGAGCATGCAGGCAATGTATTCATAAAGACATTCCTTAATTACACGTGCATTTATTTACTTTCTAGTTGCATTTGCAAATATTTTAACTGACGTAGGTTCACAGTTTTAAAATCATTCAACTTACAGTTGGAAGTGCAAGTCTCAACGCAGTTCAGTTTCTTATTTTGTCGTGTTAATTTGTTTTCTTTTTTAATTTTGATGGAAGCGGTGACTTCTGCAGAAAGAAATAAAAAGTTTAGAATGAAAAAGAAAAAGGAAGATCCACAATTTCAAGTTCGCGAAAATAAAAGAATTGCACAAGTTCATGCTGCGAAATTTGCTAAAATGACGAGGAAACAGTTAACTGAACATAGGCGTAAAGTAGCTGCAAGGGTGGCGAAATGTAAAGCTAAGAAAAAGGAAACTATGAAGTATACGGTACTAGACGTCAACTAGAGAACTTTTGGGTGAGTCAAACACGGCAATACGTCATGTTCATTTTGTTGTCCGCAAACGCTTGGGAAAGCTGTAAAACGTTGTTTTAAAGTTTTACCGCTATCTCCCAATAAAAGATTTGCAGTACTTAACAAGGTTGCTGAAAATTTCGGCCTTAAAATTGATGCAGCATGTTTGTTTTAAAAATGCAATGTGGAAGATTTGGAAGACGATATTGAAAAACTAGTAGAAGACTTTTAGTTTCAACCAGACATTGTTTACACTATGGCAGGCATGTCAGATACAATAGCTGTTTGGAAAAAAAGAAAGGAAACTTTGAGGAAGTATCACTTGACTATGTTCCTCCATGAGGCATATACGTTATTTCTTGAGAATAATGAAACAATTAGAATTTGTTTTTCCAAATTTTGTGCTCTCCGTCCACCTAATGTACTGCTTTTAAAAAATACACCAGGGTAATTGACGCAATTGCTGGGAAAGCAAAGCATAAAAACAATTCATAGTGTCACGGCAAATCAACGCGGCGAAATCATGCTGCGGGAAACAGCTTTGGACGAAATAAAAATCACCATTTTATTTTCAGATTACTTATGTCAAATAGATGAAAATGGTCACAGTTCAATTTTGACACTTTCCGTGGGTGATTGGTGTGTCGTTAATTACAATGCATCAGAATTTCCTGCACAAGTAAAAGAAGTTATGTCAAATCAAGTTTTAGTATCCACAGTTGAAAAACATTTGTTTGGGAATTCATAGGTTAGGCCAACTAAACCTGATGTGATGCTTTACGATAAAAATCAAGAAGAAAAATTGATCCCCCATCACTTACTGGTTCAAAAACCCGAACATATATGGTATTTTACTCCACAGACATTTAAATTTTTATTACCATATACGTCTAAACTCTTTAACTACTCATATTTTGCATGCTTGCATTTGTAATCACTATGCTTTTGCTATTATAGTTGTGAAATGATTGTTTTTATCAATTGTTTTGCACGCGGTAACGCACGTAAGGAGACTGGTAACATACGTAACGATGACAAATTTTTAATTTAATCCGCTATTAAAATCTTTTCCTTAAATCCACTTTATGGTTTTGTTAAACGGCATCTTTAATAACAAGTTGCACATTTCGGTTTTTCAATATGCAACCAATTCACAGATAAGCTTTGTCAAAATTTACTTGTTTAAATTTTAGATGAGTGCACATAACGATTTTTGATTTATAATTTGAGATAAAAAATGTTCAACTTTTTAGAACAAGTTTTTGAATATTTTTTGTTGTAAGGATTAAATAATATTTGCAATTTCACAAAGCATTAAGCACGTTCCCCATTCAGAACTTTTTGCGCTTTGGAGGAGCGGAAAAGTTCTTTGAGCATGCGCGAAATGTTCTGATTGGAGAGCGGGCTTAAATAAAACTGTTTGGGCATGCTCAAAGAACTTTTCCGCTTCTTCAAAGCGCAAAAAGTTCTGAATGGAAAACGGGCATAACTCACGTAACGATGGAATCAGTCCTACTCACTTTTAACTTTTTTTGCATAGCGATGCAAAGAATACTTTGAGTTTTTGAGAATGTTATATAAAGATGTGGTTTCAAATAAAAAATATTGACCGAGCACTAAAGACTTGAATAATGTAACCTCCACATAAAACGTGACGCAACTTTTTAATTATTTAATGCTGTCCCTTCATTGCACAGTGGGCCAAGATCGACATAAAAGGGACAAAAAATCATAATTCCTTTATTTTTAAAGTTGTCAAATTGAAATTTTTATCAGTGACTCTAGTCATCATGAAGATCAGTTTTGAAAAAAAAATTATTCTCTTGCGGATGCAGGCACCCTAAACACCCTAATAGAAAAGGTTGTGCAGGGCGTTAAAGACATAATTTTTAATTGTTTTTAGAAACAGTTTTTCCCAGATTCGAAGCGTTAGTTAGTTAAAATGTTTGTTACATGTTAAACACCTTTTTATAAACAAAGAAACGTTTATTTATTAGATATTTTATCAGAAATCAAAGCAAAGATATACAAAACTTAAAATAAAATAAAAAATTACAAAAAAAGTTTAATACAACCTTTGTTAAGTTCAAGTTCTTTAATACATCTCAAACTTCTTCTTAGAAAGTTAATAATTAGATCTGAACTGCACAATAATATTCGCATTACATCTTCATTAGTAAGTTTTCTTGAATATTTTTGTATAGTGCTCTCTACAATTTTTAACGCCTTTATTTCGACATTCCTGAGCTGAGAAAGAAGACCTACTGGCAATGGTTTATCTCTTACAACTTGAGAACTATGAATTAGAATTTTATGTATGATTTGAGGTATTGAAAACCATTGGTACAGAGAAACGCAGAGCTCTGCTGTTTCTTTGGTATATTTTTCAAGTTCATCAGCGTTAATTTGATGTTTGCACAATAAAACACAAAGAATTACAGAGAAATGTTTCATGAGATTTTTATCTCAGTCAAGTGTTTCAGTAGACACCTTATAGTTTTGAATACTAAAAGGCAAAGCTATAGTAGCCACTTTCCTATCAATAATTGTGCATTCTAACTTATGTTTGATAATAAAGGAACTAAAGACTGTTGGTTTCAAGTTATTGTTCTTGAATTAAATATATTCTTGTGTAATAACAGCACTTTCTTTTACATATTAAAATCGTACTTGACGGCAGTAAAGTGTAGAGGATAGTTTTTCATTGATCCGTAGTGATTTGTGAGGTTTTTCAATATAAAGTTTAATTTGAACGATGCAGGATAGAAATAAAGATTGTTCCTCAACATAAATGATACTTACTTTGTCTTCTGTACTTTGTTTGTATAATGATTGGCCGGATGAACCATCAAATCATATTTTGCTTATAAAGTTTATGGATGGATTTCTTAGGAGCTTTTACAGATTTATTGAGTATTTTTAACAACCTGTATGTAGTATGATCAACAAGGCTCTGTAAATTAACTGAGGCTGGATAATCAGTAGTTTGTATTCCACAACAACGTAAACCCCTAACTATAAGTTGGATACAATTTGTTTCCTTTAGAAACTGCTCAAACATGAGTTGTTTGGTAATCGACTTTACTAAGTCGGCAGTTTAAAATCAAAGCTAATGCTTTCTCTCCAGTAAACATTGTTGTTGAATTAAATGCACCATCTTTCTCTAATTTTATTATTTGCTTCACAACTTTAAGTGTAAAAATGTAAATTTGAATAGTGCGATAAATACAATCCACTAAGAAAGTTTATCACCCGTAATATTTTGGAGATTTTTTTTTGATAAATAAGATAATTTAAAAATAGCTATAGCATAGATGATAATGTACCTTAGCATTGCTGAACCTTTAATTAAAACCAAAATAAGTGAGTAAATACTTTTACTTTAAACCAAAATAAGTGAGTAAAATAGTTCCTCTCTTTTGATAGCAATGTTTTTTCTGCTCTCCTTTTCTTTGTTTTTTCAAAAGGTTTAAATGGTAATTTGCACCTGATGGTCTTCCGTAGACAACTGATTTAAGTTAAAATATCAGATGATTATATTTAGTATAAACACTTGCTAAAATTACAATTAAATATTTAAAAAAATAATGAATCGATCACTTTAACTTTTACGAAATATTATACCTAAATTGTGAGAAGTAGGAAAAGCCAAGCCCGTGTTTTGCCCTTTGTCTAGTTTATCTGTTTCCAAACATGTGAGCGATCCCTGTAACTTTATAAGCATCAGGGTCGGTAACTGATTTGATTAAATTGTTTTCCAAGGCAAGGAACAATTTTCGAGTAACTTCTTTATTTTTCATGATTGGTAAAATAACATTTCTATATAAAAATATAATTATAGTTTTTAAATAGTATTCGTATTTTAATTATTAAAAACAAAATCGATAATTAAATGAAATAAGTTTAAGTTATAAATAATAAAACCACATTACTTAACTAAGTGGAATAGCATTAAATTTTTTTGTTTCTTGCAGTTTCCGTGATTGCAATTAATTATTTAGAGTTCATACTTAACAACAATGTGCTTCGAACAATCGAAAATGACAAACAAGTCGTAAGTTAAAAACCTGCTAAATAGTGATTCGCGCAACTTTCCTCAAGATATTATTAATGAGAAACCTTGTGCAATAATAAAATTCTGTAAAAATGTTATTTCCATAGAAACGTGGGCGAAAAGAGATCTTGAGCCTTTTATGGTAACCTTTTATTATATTTTCTAATACTAAATGTCATATTTCAAGTTAAGAAAAAAGTTATAAAACACAAGATTTTTTTATTTGTTAAGTTTTCTATAATAAAACATGTATCCAGGGCCGGATTTAGCCATTTTAGTGCCCAAGGCACAAACCCACATCGGTGCCCCCGTCTGCCCGGGGCTCCTGATTTTTCGCTGACAGTGACCGCTGGTATCTTCAATATTATGCAAAGAAAACAGTTGTTAACAAATATGTTTGTAGTTTGTACTACTTTCACTCATATAACAATAAAGTATTTCTGTGTTAAAATTAATAGTTAATGAATTTTGAAATAATAATAGACAAACTGTATTTTATATTAGATGAAAAAATCAAAAAGATATTGTCATTTACATTTTAACGTTTTTTTTTTCTAGATTTACATCTAACAAAGTCTTTGAGTATATCGTCAAAGTTAATTAATAAGTTAAAATGGGATCTGAAATTGAAAAAAGTATGCGAAAAGATGTAAATAAAAAAGATTAAATGATATAAAACAAAAATGTAATTTACATAAAATTAAAAAATTATACAAAATAAGGCTAAAAAACAACAAACTTAAGCTGTAAGCTCATATAAATAATATCAGAATCAATAAAAATGATAAAACAAAAGATAAAAGAGCTTAATAATAGTTTTAAAAAAATATCCTTAAGTGAAGTCGTTAAATTTAACGACTTCACTTTAGGATATTTTTTTAAAACTTTATAAAACGCAAAAAAAAAAAAAAAAAAAAAAGTCGTTTAAGCGCGAAAAAAATAATTAGTTTTAAAAAAAGCTAAATAGAAAAAACTGGCTCATTCATAGCTTAATTTTTAAGCATTCAAGATTGTACCAAACTTGAATGTGAATTTTTATTATAATGTATTTCTTCATTTTCATAGCACTTGTTTAATTTTTAGTTGTTTTGTTCAATTTTCAGTTGACTTAAATTTGTTAGAAAAAATATTTCTTGAGGACTTGTGGTGCCCCCAAACACTTGGTGCCCAAGGCAAATGCCTTGTTTGCCTAATGGTTAATCCAGGCCTGCATGTATCCTTTATGTTGATAATCCTTTATATTGATATTGAGACTATAAAATTTTAATTAAATTAAAGAAAACTGCTCTTATGAGGTGAAATTCAATTTTATGAATATTTTCTGTTGTTTTTTTTTTAAAAAAAACTTTTTTTAAATAGACGAGCTTGAAAACTTTCCCAGGACTCGTAAAACAAAAATGAAAATATTTAAACGTCAGATTATTTTATTGTGCGGTATTTTAAAATTTTGCAAAAAATTTTCGATTTTTCATTTTCGACATTTATGCCGATCTCTGGCCCACTGTGCATCTTCTTCAGAAAAACATTCAATACAACATAATCGAAAAATATTTGAAAATAGATAATTCAATCATTTGCTAACCCAACTTTACTCTATAAATTTTTTATTATACTAACTTTTAAATTATGTTAATTTTAATTAACCTAATCTAAAAATGAGTATAATATAAATGTTATAGAACGTCAATTTAACTTAATATATGTTAATTCTATTTTTTTGTGTTTTATCCTTAAGCATGACCCGTCTTAAATGGATGCACTGCTTAGGTGATCATTTTAAAACACTAAATTTGCAATATACCAAAATCTAAAAAAATATAAATTTATTTTGGTCTTTTTTATAACTTAAAATACATTATAATGTGATTAATAGATCTGATTCTTGATCCCAAGCCGCTGGATAACATAACTTGGCAGACAAAACACGGGATCCACTTCTTCTATATTATCTCGATCAAAACCAAGCAGCGAAAGTCCAGCAACGCCAAATAATGTATGAAAAGGATCGGGCTTAAAAAAAATATATAACAATTCATATATATATAACATCATGGTTTTTTAAAAATTGTAAAAGCAAAAATTTTTATTATTATTTGCATTTGAAAATTTTAAATTGTATCATTACTTAATATAAATTAAATCTTAGAGAGATTTTGATTATGAGTGATTTAAATCTGTGGCCAAAAATAAAAATGAAGTAAATATTACTTCCTTTAATAAATTTCTGAAAAAATAAATTAATTTTACTTAATTTACGATTCAATTATGATTCAATGATAAAAATTAAGTTTCAATGATAAAATTAAACAATATTATTTAGCAACATAGATAAGATTTAACCTATATATATATATATATATATATATATATATATATATATATATATATATATATATATATATATATATATATATATATATATATATATATACATATATATATGTATATATATATATATATATATATATATATATATATATATATATATATATATATATATATATATATATATATTTAATTAAAACTTAAATAAAAGAATTATTTGGTTTAATATAAAAATAAAATCATACCATATCACCGGGACGATCTGAAATACCACCAGTTTCATCATCTTGTGATGCTATAATAAAGCTTGATAAACGTTCCTATAAATACATGTTTTACTGCAGAATTTTTCTGTCACAAACAATAAAAATATACTGAAATAAGGATAGATAGAGACTTCAGTACATACAAAGCTAAGCATAGACTTATCTGAGTATCTACATATGTATGTATAAGGATAATATTTATCGTTTTTCTGAAAAATCAAAATAAAATAATAAAAAGTATGAAGACATTTCTTGTACAAAGTAAAAAGTTTAATAATTCAAACCAATTTATCAATAATTCTACCCCAAATTTTTTTTAGTATTTTTTCTCGGTATATTTTTTTATTTTACAGACACACTGATAACTTATTCCATTCTTCTAAATATCATCTTTCGAATAGTTTATAAACATTAAAATAATCAAGCGAGAATACAAACAATCAAACTAATTATAATATTATTTAATATCAAAGAAACCAAGATATTATTTAACACTTTGAGGTCTTTACGAAAAAAAATTTTGCCTATTAGGTCCAAATTGTTTGACCCATGGCTTCATTCTATTTTTCATAAACATTACATTATAAGTGTAGCACCAAACTGTTTAATTTTTATTCTGCCAAAAACACTATGACTAAAGTGCAAGCACTAAACAAGAACAAAAAAAAATTTATTTATGTTTTTTTTACAAATAAATTACAATATTGTCTATGGATATCCTATTACTTGATAAAATTCAAAACAATCAGTAGGGTGTAGTCCTGGTTTTCTAGTGCAGGTTTTAAAATGTGGCTTTTGGTTGAGGCGTTCATTATGATCTAATGATGATTGCTTTTTTCTTTGTTCTTAAATGTTATGACATGATCTAACTAATTGCTCAATGAGATTTTGTATGTAGGTTAGGTGTCGAAGTTTGTTTTTACTATTGTGTTCACAAAACTTATTGAATAAAATATAATTGTTAACAACTGCAACTTCAAACAACCAGAAAAATATTTTTTGGTTTTTCTCCAATCCAAGTGCATACCTCGATGAGCAACTAGTTACATTAAGGGGACGTTGTCCATTTAAGATATTTATATCTACTAGGCCAGGAAAGTATGGAATGAAGATATGGATATTATGTAATGCTGAAACCTCTTACTGCATAAATTTGCAACCGTATATTAGTAGAGTAAATGGAGTATGTGGTGTTGGACAAGGTACACAAGTAGTTCTTGAACTAACTGATCACAAATTTTTTTTATTTTTTTTATTTTTGTTATTCACCTTCTCAAGACCGAGAAGGCCACTACATACGAGGAGGCTACTTAATAGTGGTTATAACCCTCTCTCAACTATATAACTCTGAAACACAAACCTTGACAAACAAGGCCGCTGCGCGGAGAAACAAGTTGAGCGCGGTACTACCAGGGACGTGGTGGGGATCAAACTCGGAAACTATTGCTTATAAAGCGAGTGTTTTACCACTACACCACTACCGCATTTAAATGGAAGTGGTAGACGCTTAAATGGAAGTGGAAGACACTTAAGAGCTGATAACTTTTTTAAAAACACTCATTACCAAACACCTATTGCCAGTCTAACATCGACCAGTTTACTCTAGCATTTTTGGTTTTCAAAATGATTCTTCTATAGTTTCTTATGTACCTAAAAAAAACAAAGCAGTAATATTATTATCAACCTTCCATCACAGTAATGACATGTTATGGACCATAATGAAAAATCATGTATTATTCTAGATTACAATAAATATAAAGGTGGAGTTGACACGTTAGACCAGGTTGTCAGGTCCTACTCGAGTTGCCGCAAGAGTAACTGATGGCCACTTACAATGTTTTGTAATATTTTAGATATTTCAGCATACAATGCTTTGATTTTATTTTTGTCAATTCACCCAAATTATAAAAATGGGGCTTCTAATAGATGAAGGGAGTTTTTAAAAGAACTATCAAAAAGTCTTTTTCAAAAGTTTGATGCTAATGACAATCTTCCATAAATAGTTGCAAATAATAATCTTTGCCAAATTATTGCACAAAATAACCTATTAAATCAACTAATTCAAGAGCAGCACATAAAAAGATGCTATATGTGTCCTCATGTTTACGACAGAAAAACCCGTCTGCAATGTACATCATGTAGCCATTCTGTTTGCAAGGCTCATAGCAAAATTGTTTGCAATAGCTACCTTATTTAGAATTATATTATATATTTTGTTTTTATTTGAATAAATTGTATCAAGTATCACTTTTATTTAAAAAACATTGAGAAATATATTTTTGTTGAAAACACGCATTTTAATTAAAAAAGTTCAACATATTTTGTATAAAAACCTATATTTTTTTAGTTGGCATAGTTTAATACCCCAGCCTGTTCTTAACATAACTTTTTCCTCCTGTCATTTAAGAGTTAAACAAAGTTTGAAAGAGATGTTGGCTTGTTTTGCAAATTTTTTATTGTTAAAGAAGATTATTTTTTTTAACTTTGTTTTAAAAATTGTTTTAAAGACCTTTTAATGGATAAAAGTTCAATTTGGAATTACTATAATCATATAGAAACGAGATATAGCCATATGTAAACAATGCACAGAAAGAATTAAAACAGCAGGTGAAAGTACTAGTGGTTTACATACCCATCAAAAGAGTTAACATAAAATTAATGTGTTGAAAAGAAATATAGAAGGACGCGCAAAAGAACTAACAGTTGCAATAGCATCGAAAATTATTACTTTTAGCAAAAAGAGACATGAACCTATTGAAGCTGTACTTTCAAGAATGATCGCACAAGATGGCATTCCTTTCAATAAATTTTATACTTCTGAAGATTTAAAGATGTTACTAAAAACAAAAGGGCACATAGAGTTATCAAAATCGCCCAAAACCATTCACAAAAAAGTAATAAATTATGCTGATAAAATAAGGAACAAAGTTCTAAAGAAAATTTCACAGAATTCGATAAAAAAGCCTTAAAAGTCTTACCACATATGAATGGACATTAAATAAAAACCGTATATAAATATTATTATTCATGGAAATGACTGAAATTTTAGGAATCTGATATTGACTCGGATTAATGAATATAAACCTGGTGAGGTATGGTCAGAACTAATTAAAAAGAAGCTTAAAGAGTTTAAAATAGCTTTGTCAAATATTGTGTGCATAATATCAGACGGAGCTGCCGTTAACAAGAGAACGGTAAAGTTACTTAATAAAAACCATCAGTTATGTGTCGTAGATGGAATACAATCGACAATCACAAAATACTTTATAATATTACTTACTTTATAATATTAGTTAAACAGATGTACAAGATGTTAATGAACATGATGATAATGTATTACTCAATATTGATTCTGATTTTGATTATTCGGAAATTGAACTTAAAAATTTTGAAGTAGACCACAAAGATATCGACACTACCCAACTTGTTCTACAAAACGCAGAGCTAAATTCTTTAATTACAAAAATTCGGAAATTTATAAAACTTTTTAGAAAACCACCAACCAAAAATGATAAACTACTGCAAAAATAAGATAATAATATATAAACTATAACTATAAACTGTCGGAAAAGAACTTTCTTTAAGTTTAGAGTTAAGTAACAAAAACACTTTTTTAAGTATTGCACTAAAAAATAAAATTAATAAGTTGTATTAAAGAAAGAATAATGATGTTTTCAGACATGTTACAATATATAACAGATCCTAATGTTATTATTTCTGTTAATGACAATTATCGGATTTTTAATATCAGCAGTAAAGCTGTAATTATCAAAACTATTATTGACATTGTAGAAAATATTTTGTACAGTAATGCGGAATCTGGCGAGAGTATTCCAAGACACCTAAACGAATCATATTCAGATTTAAATAACAACCTCATTACTGTTAAACCAAATGCGGATTTTTCTATGAAGGAAAAACTTTATCTTTTTCTTGAAAACAAATGGACAAGAATAAAGGAATAATTGTTTTAGAAGAAAGTAACACAAAAGGTCTAGAAAAAGAAAGTAACACAAAAGAAGTTGTAAAAAAAGAGTACTTTTGACAAGAAAATATATGAGGGAAGTACATTCAAATAGTTTTTGACTATTTGATGACTATTCATCCAACAAGTGTTGAACCTGAAAGTGTATTTTCAGGAGTTGGACTAATTTGTACTAAAATTAGATCTCGATTAGGAGACAAGACATTGGATAGTTTAAACTTTCTATGAAGCTACTTTTTGAAAAATGATATTTTATACAAATGGTATTATAAAAATTGTATTGATTTATTGATATATGAAGTTTATCGTTAATTTACAGATTTACCAATATTACAATTTTCATTTACCGAATTACTGGTAAATCAAAAAGTCAGTAAATTTACAAACCCTAATGTACAATATCATTATTTTATATTTAAATTTAAACTAACATCAGTATTACAAGCTTTAAATATATTATCTGGTTTTGAAATTGATTAAAAAAACTTTGAGGATCTGAGTTTTCAGTCTCAAATATATTTAAGAAAGATTCCATTATTATTCTTTACCAAGAAGCAATAACTTGCAATTTTAACATAGGTGATTATAGAGAATTAGTTAACATTGCGCTCAAGTTTATATTTTATTAACTTATTGCTTTTATGTTAGCGGTAGGGGGAGCAAACTTTTTTAGGCATTTTTGTTCCTAGACTTTCACAATCGCTATTTTTGTACCAAAACATTCTCATTGGACATAAGTATGAACATACATAAATCTAAAAGTTTTTTTTTTTTTTTGCGAAAAGAAAGATTTTAATATAAAATAGCAACCAAATAAAAATAATTATGCTTTCATAAAATTTGGAATTAAGAATCTTGAATATATACAAATAAATTTGTATATTTACAAGAAACATTCAGATAAATAATATATACAAAATAATATTAAACAAAATGCAATCTTCATTATCATACTGATATCAAGTTCAAGAACTTCAGCAATCATTTCTGCATTCTGAAAAAAACATATTGCATAGTTTCCATTGTTTTATGAACCAGTGCCACCAGACATTAGTATATCAATTACCAGTCCTGCTTCATCATGAAATCTGTTTTAAAACTTCTGTTTTTACTCTAGAACAACCTTTTTCTCAGATGGCATTCTTGTAGCCCACTAATCTCAATTTATAACTAAATTTAAGAAGTTTGTTTCAATGATATATTTTTAGCTGCATTAAAACTATTTAATTTTGTTGAATCAAACCAAAATATATTGAGAAAATGTAGTTGCTGTAGATAATGCTATAGCAACTTTACCATCCACAAATGCTATTTCAATTTTGTTTAGTATTACTTTGGAGTATTGCTTTCACAAAATATTGGAAACTTTGAATTGTTAATATGTTTCTTGAATTGTTACTTGTAACAAAACTTCCAGATTTTTTTTTTTAATGAGCATTATTATTGATCTGGAATATAGAGTTGATGATGGATGCAGATTAGACCAAATAATTATATTTTTGTCATTAATATATCCAGGTAACTAAAGTGAAACAAAACAAGAAATAAATAAACTAGCTTCTTCTAATAGATTTCTGCTTTTTTTTCTTACTCTCAAGTATAAATGCTTTAACCAGTTGATCAATCAAACTCAATTTTCGAATTTAATGTCAGTTTTTAAAGATCATTCAAAGGATCAACAACTTGTTCTTGCAACTTTTTATTGCTTTTTAATCAAAAAATGCTTGAATTTCTACAGAAAAATCATTAGCAGTCTATGTTTGTTCTGGAAGACATTTTTCATTATCAAAATAGACATAGTATATAGAGAAGAGATTGCAACCTTTACTAACAACAGTATTTCTTAAACCTTGATAATTAGACTTATCATCTAGACTTATTTTTCATACTTATATGTATTTGATTTTGCAACTTAAAAAAAAATACATTAAAAAAGTATTAATAATTAGTAACTTATTTAAAATAGATACAATAACTAAAACCACATAACTCTGTACCTCATCGATCCAATGTACTTTGCCAAGAATCTTGAGTGATGCTATAACCCACCAAGAGTAGCAAACATCAGGCAATTTCTCTGGACGCCCATTTAATCCTCCAGATTCTAATTGCCTCTCACACAACCACCATGCAAGAAGGTCTGGATCAATATGATGTAGTCTATTAGTGATAGACAAAGCACCAAGACAACAATATATCTAAATTAAAATTTGGCTATTTCAGCAGAATCTAAACATTTCAGGCAGATTTATCAGAAATATATTATATATATATATATATATATATATATATATATATATATATATATATATATATATATATATATATATATATATATATATATATGTATATATATATATGTATATATATATATATATATATATATATATATATATATATATATATATATATATATATATATATATATATATATATATATATATAAAGCTGAAACCAGTACTTTACAGGAATAAAACTTTATAGTAAATATTGGTTTAAACTGCATAAATAAAACAACACAGCCATATTAAATGTCCAGAGCTTACTCTTACTTAAAAATATTAGAGCTAAGTAAATTATATACATGTTTAAGTTCAATCACTTAACTTTGAATATTTATATCTCAGGAATATATATATATTATATATATATATATATATATATATATATATATATATATATATATATGAATATATACATTTTTTACATTTTGTTTTTTGAAAAATATAGTCAATTATATAATTAATATAAACATAGTATTGGGAGATTCCATGTGAAAACATCCAATTTTTTTTGAAAATGCAACCATAAGTCTCAGATTTTGCTGATTTTTAAACCACTTAAAGATTTTAGTAAATTATGAACATCCTGAAAATTTTATCGTCTAATTTCAATCGGTTCCTAAGATATAGCTATTTTAAGTTTGCCCCCAACCAACAAAAATCCGCTATTTTTAAAAATGGTTTTGGTCCTAGTTTCTGTTATATGTGTGTTGGAAAGCTGAAAATTTGTACCTTTACATATTTTGGGCCAACGAATCCAATGAAACAACTTAAAATATTTAAAAACAAACATAACACCTAAAATTTGAACGTTTACCACAATTTTACTGGGGCGAGTCCGATCACAAAAATGCCGATGTAGCTTGATTTTTTTTTTTTTTTTTTTTTTTTAGAAGTTGTTCTGAATAGTTAAGCTATAGTTACTACAAAGAATTGGAGAGTGGTCTTTTATAAAACAGAAATAAAAATATGGTCAAATCTACTTAAATTTATTGCTTAAAAAACAGGTATTATGACAAATTAAACAAGAAAAAAAATGTGGTAATTTGACAGTTTTGCAACTGAAACAGTTTAGGCTACATCAAACTGTTCTTTTAGTTGTTGTTGACTAGCTGTTTCTGTTTTCTTTGTAATTTTTTAGAATCTGATCTTGAAAAAGTTTAGTTTCAAGGGGGAGAATTATATAAATGCAGATGTATATTGCAAATTTAGTTTTTTTTTCAGAAGTTGTATTAAATAGTTTAGTTGGAGTTATTACAAAGAATCAGATTGTGGTCTTAAATCAGAAATAAAAACATCTTCAAATATACTTAAATTTATTACTTATAAAACATTAGTTTCATATTTATCAAACTTCATTTAATAAACTTAAAAAACAAAGACTCCAAAACAAATAGAGCACTCGGAAAGAAGTTCAAGAAACAAAAGTAATATACAAAATTTAAAAATTAAAAACTCAAAAAAATTAAAATTTATCAGTTATTGTGTTATAATCATTCACATCAATGTTATATGTTCGCCCTGATTTTGTTGTTGGGACTTTGATTACTGCAATCAAACTCGACAATGGTACCCAACAGATATCATCTCTCTGTGGCCAAATAAAGTTTTGAGAAGGGCCGTGAGGGTGCATAAACTTAATTTGAATATCATTTAGAATAATATCTATCTCTGTAACCATGCCTATCCACCAAAAGGAATCGTACTTGCATGCAACAAAATCATTTAGATTTGGTACAACAACAACATCAGACATTACTGCTTTTGACAGTATAAATCTGTCAACACATTGATGTTCGCTTGTTCTTTTAAAACTAATTTCAAATTTTGAAATAGGTATGTAATGATGATAACTTCTGGTACCTGGAACAGTTTTTCCTGTTTCAAATCGCTCCTTTAGTTGGTGTCTCCTTGCATTAACTGTTTCTTTGGAAATTTTATAAAATATGATTGTGTTTATATTGGTGATGCAAAATTCAAGCATATCATCAACTGTTAATATTTGGTTTTGCAATGCCCTTTGCAAACTTGCTCTTGCTGTTATTCTTTTAACGATACCACCTATGCCATCACAAGTGGATTTTCCATGGCTGGTTGCAAAAAATACCCATTCAGCTGTAATCTCAAAATCTTCCTTATGGTGGCATAGATTTATAAAGTTTTTATAGTTTTTATAATGAGCAGAACATCCATCAGAAAAATAATAAATTCTATTTATACCAACTAAATATTCCTTAATGTACTCTACAATTTTCTTTTGAAATTCATACACAAAGCATGTATCATGATCATTGTCATCACTTAAAAAACAGAATGACTTATGCTGAATATTTGTTTTAGAAAATTCCTTAAAATATATAACAACAGGATGAAGTGTACATTGTTGTTTATTCCAATGATAACTTTGTATTTCATCCTGTATAACAAATTGATAGTTCTCTGCAAAATCTGCCTGTATAATACATTCATTGTATTCTAAATTATTTTTTAATTCTTTCAAATAGCGAGTTTGGCATTTAGCAATATATGAATGTGAAGTTAGATGATTAATGTGAGAAACAACTAGTTCTTTATATTCAAATAAGTTAACTGATTGAGTAATTAATTGTGATCTATCAGTACTTTGCCATTGGTTGAATTGAATTTCTTCTTCTTCATCAATCTCAATTAATTCCTTATCTAAAAATGCCTTTAAGTTATCATAACCTGGACATTTGGCACATCTATGAACCATGCATTCATTATTGCTTGTATCACATACTAATTTTGACATTAAATCTTTGTATGTAACATTCCATTGGACAGCATTTACAAGCAATATTGAGTTTTGATGGTAAATACAAACACATACACAGTGTGTACCATTTGGTCCCACACTAATACACCATTTTGGACGCAAACTACAAAACTTTGAAAATCCTATTTTATAATTAGGGTATTTACTTTTAAAATCAATATAAAGCTCATGAAGGTTGCACAATAATAATCTTTTTTGTTGTGGAGGACCACTTTTAACTTTAACACAATCTTTTTTACCAGGCATAATTCCAGAATGTTCATCTTGTTGAAAAAAATCTTGAACCAAAGCTGTAAGAAAGTCAGGTATTTTTTGGCCTATTTTCTTATCAGGTATAGCAAGAATTCCATTTTCACTTTTAAGTTTAGCACGTCATATAAGATGTTCAGAAACTTCAAAATATTCTGAAGCGTATTTTCTAGACCAAGATTCAGGTGTAAGTGTTAATATTTGAACTTTTTTTTTAAATGGTTCAACTTTAAGTTTTTCTTTCATTAAAGTTGTCAAATGATCAAGATCATTTGCTTTTTTTTTATCCATAGATTGACTGGAAAAAGTTGAGGCTACACTTAAGTTATTTATATTTACTCCATAAGCACTTGCTACACCTTCTTCCATTTTTGTGTAGGCTTTGACTAATTTTCTTTTTGCTGTTACAACTCGTTGATGCTTTGCGACACCATGAACTTTAATTGGTGAGACTCCAATTGATATTAAAGAGTTGTCTAACTGTTGTTTATTACAAGATTTATCTTTAACAAATAATACATCGCCATCAATTTCACTATCCATTTCATTATCAGAAACTTCATTGCGATTTGACAAAAACTGAATACATGAGCGACAAAATTTCCATCCTGGTTTACAGTCTAGATTTTTGGATTTAAGGTTATGAGCCATTTCAAGAGATATGGTTGTTTGACCTAAAATAAAATCATTAATTTTAAATAAACATACCCTGCTTCTAAATTTATATATATATATATATATATATATATATATATATATATATATATATATATATATATATATATATATATATATATATATATATATATATATACATTATATTATATTATAATATAATAATTTATATAATATATATATATTATATTATAATATATTAATTTATATAATATATATATATATATATATATATATATATATATATATATATATATATATATATATATATATATATTATATTATAATATATTAATTTATATAATATATATATATAAGTTAATATATAATAAATAATTATATATATATATATATGCGGTAGTTGTGTAGTGGTAGACCGCTCGGTTCATAAGCGCGAGGTTCCGAGTTCGATCCCCACCACGTACCTGGTAGTACCGCACTCAACTTGTTTCTCCGTACAGCTGCCTTATTTGTCAAGGTTCGTGTTTCGGAGTTATAGAGTCAAGAGAGGGTTATAACCATAAATAAGTAGCCTCCTCGTCTGTAGTGGCCTGCTCGGCCTTGAGGAGGTGAATTATCAAAAAATATATATATTACCTTTAACCTTCTTTTTGTGTCTTTTTAAAACATCGCAACACTTATCATTCTTTAGTAGAAATATCGGTCCAAAAACCTGCTCATGGTGATAACAAATAGACTTTATCTCTTCGTATGATGTAGTCTCAAGCAAACCAGACCTCTAAATATAAGTATCTTGAAAGTCCTTTTCTAGATTACAAAAATCTTTTAATCCTTGTTTTCGAACAAAACATATTTTGTGACATTCATCTTTTAAAACATTTCCAAACCCACAAGATTCCATTTTATCAATATACTATTATTATTTCTGAAAAAGATGCAAGAAAAATCTATGATTCATTCAATGTGTTCATGGGGTCAAGGTTGTTTAGGACTAGAAATTTAAACTTAATTAGTAAGCATTCTAACTTTAATTTTACAACCTTATAAACATTTCTAAACCATAAAACTACTAAAAAAATAGAAAGAGCAATTCAACAACATCTAAAAGAACATTTCGATATAGCCAAAACTGTTTCAGCTTCAGAACTGTCAAATTATCACATCTTTTTGTATAGTTAAATTTATCAAAATACCTGTTTTTTAAGCAATAAATTTAAGTAGATTTGACCATATTTTTATTTCTGTTTTAGAAAAGACCACTCTCCAATTCTTTGTAGTAACTATAGCTTAACTATTCAGAACAACTTCTAAAAAAAAAAAAAAAAAAAAAAAAAATCAAGCTACATCGGCATTTTTGTGATCGGACTCGCCCCAGTAAAATTGTGGTAAACGTTCAAATTTTAGGTGTTATGCTTGTTTTTAAATATTTTAAGTTGTTTCATTGGATTCGTTGGCCCAAAATATGTAAAGGTACAAATTTTCAGCTTTCCAACACACATATAACAGAAACTAGGACCAAAACCATTTTTAAAAATGGCGGATTTTTGTTGGTTGGAGGCAAACTTAAAATAGCTATATCTTAGGAACCGATTGAAATTAGACGATAAAATTTTCAGGATGTTCATAATTTACTAAAATCTTTAAGTGGTTTAAAAATCAGCAAAATCTGAGACTTAGGGTTGCATGCCCTGGATGTTTTCACATGGAATCTCCCTATTCTTACTTTGTATTGTGAAAATCAATAAAAATAAAAATATAAAGTTTTAACAACAAAACTTTTTTTTTTAATTTTTAAAAAAGATTTTTAATTAATTAATGCACATTCAAGTTTAGCCACTTAAAAAAAAAACACTTTCAATTTAAAAAAAATATATAACTATATCTTTATTTTCTTTAATTGGAAACATCAATAATTTAAAAATAATTTTTAAAAAAATAATTTAAAAGATTTAATTATCATTTAAATTTAACTTGAATTAAAATATATATTTATATATATTTTATATACTAAATCACTTCTAACATGGCTGTAAACATTTAAACTATTAAGTTGGAAGTTACTAGAAAATAAAAAATAGTGTTAAAGAGCAAAGAAACGGTTGACTGAAGACTCGAAAACTTGTAGGTTTTATGAGTCAGGAAAACATGAAATTGGGAGAGAGTTCTGAAGCATTGATGTGGGAAAGAAAAAACTAAAGGAATAAAAGTTTTTAGAGCATGAAAGGACAAATACAGTAAAAAGATGCAACTTGGTAAGATAAGCGAGAATGAGTTTTGGTTGATCGATAACAGCAGTGACCATGATAGTATTTGTAGAAAAGAGAAAGAGATACAACCTTATGATGATCAGGAGTGTCTCAAGCTTGGTAGATAGAGGAAGTCCAACTACATTTACAATGCGCTTTTAGGATCTTGTCTAGAAGAGAAAAAGCAACATTAGAAAGACCAGCCCAAATGACAACAGTATTCTATACAGGAACGATTAAGAGATTTGCAAAGTTCGAGAATGGGATCAGGAGTAAGAAACTGGCAAGCGTGATAAAGAGAAGCAACATTACCAGATGCTAAATTTGAATTTGTATGTTAATACGTTTTCCATGAGAGGTCAGTAGTAAACAATAATCAAAAAAGAGGTCAAATAGAGGACTGAGTAAAACGGTTAACAATATTAATATAGGAATGTTAACAATACTGCAATGGTTGTTTGCAATAAATAATTGACTTTTGTTAGAACTAAAATTCACAAGCCACTGCAAGACCGAAACTGTTACAGAAGAGAGATCAGATTCAAGATCAGCTGCCTGATCTATGTTATTAAAAAGAGAAGACTTTTTGTCAAAACAAAAGCATAAGTTTGAGCAAATAGACCCACTTTAAATAAAAGTAAATTATATCAATAAATTAAAATATTCAAAAAATATTCCTATGAAAAAAAAAGCAAATCAACAGTAAACCACAAAAATTTTGAGTTTTTTAATAATTTTAACAAGGCTGCCTCTTTAAAAAAGCAACTACAAGTTTTAAAAAAATAAAGAGTAGAGAAAAAATTTCTAAAAATCTACTAATTCACCACAAATAAAAAAATGAATGTTAAGAAAAAAACTTTAAGTAAATTTAAAACAAATTTTTTTTTAACTTTTTAGAAATTTATAAAATTAAAATTTACAGTGTGATAATTAAATATAAATATTTTCCTTGACTATTTAAAGCTTTTTCTATAAGTCTCTTTTTTTACTTTTCAAGTTGGATGGCAACTCTGCGATATTTAAAAAAATATATACTAACCTGCCCAGCATGTGATTCTGAACCTGGCTTAGATCCAAATCCTCCATCAAAATTCATGCAGCTTATTACAAACTCTATGGCCTTATCAACATCTATAACATCCATTTTCCCCTAAAATCAATAATTATTATATCACTGACAATCACATACTATATCTGCAGTGGCTTCAATACATTCATCAATTTTTGGAAGATACTATCTACATTTGAAAAACCTTTATTATAGCAAAAAATTGTAATTAAATTGCAACAAAACTTTTTTTTGTTCGTTTGTTCAAATTTTATGAAAAATGCTTTTTTTTTATTAGGTTTTTTTTAAATTATTTTATTTAGTATTTATTCAAAACATTCTTTTCGCTATTTTTATTTCTTTTTAAATTGCAGAAAAAAATGAATTTTTTATAACGTGCAGGCTAACTTAAAAAAAACCAACCTCCTGGCGCTGGGATGAAATTTCAAATGGAGAAGACTGATACATACATACATACATACATACATACATACATACATACATACAGTTGGTCTATTTAAAAAATTATATATTTTTAAACATTTTAATTGTTTGTTGTTATTATCTAGAGGAAGGTTCTTTTAAGATACCTAAAACTAAATTTTTCCCCAATAATATTAATACCGCATATGTTTTTTACTTTATAATTATATTCCTTACTATACTCCTTTTACTATGCCATTTTTAACTGTAATCATTTTGTGATTCTATACCATAGAACACAAAAAAGTTAAAAATATATATATAAAATCTGATTGTTTAAAAATATAAAAACAAAAATTTTACAATAAGCTTGAGAGCTGCTAGAGCACAGAATGAAAAGCGACTGTCAACTTCTCCTAAACATTTTAAAAATAAGTTTATTACTAAAGTTGAAACCAATATTATTGCAACATAAAAAATTTATACACAGAACAAAAAAAAGGATATATATTCACCAAATATATATATATATAAAGTAACAATATGTGTGTGTGTGTGTGTGTGTGTGTGTGTGTGTGTGCGTGTGTATATATATATATATATATATATATATATATATATATATATATATATACATATATATATAAATATCCATATATAAGCACTATATAATACAAACTTAAAAATATACATATATAAGCACTAATGTTTATACAAATTATATTTATGCATATAATAGCTCAAATTAAAGATATAATCAAAACTGTAATAAAAATCTTAAAAGAATCTTTAGCCACATACCCCATTTATCTCCGTAAAATGAACCATCAGGTTGCTGCAGGCTGCTAATAAAAGCTGCAACTTCTTCAATGTTTATTCTATTTATTTCATCATATAATACCAAAATCTTAAAAAAAAACACACACATAAAGCTGGTCAGTAAGCAACATATTTATTGGTTTATTGTTCAAACAACAATTAATGTTTGGTTAAAAACTTTTTAATCAAAATTAAATGCTTAATTAAGCACAACTAAACATTTTATTTTCTGTAACTAAAAATTTTTTCAAGCAGATACTTTTTGATTATTTTAATATGGAAACTGGTTTTATAACATGTATTGCAAATTATAATCTAGTATATGTTATTCTACTGGTTTTTGCAAAGAAGTATTGCTGATAACAGATTGGTTAAAATTAAAAGCTTATGGTATTGACAGATTAGTACTAAATAAATCTCATCTTTTCTCAGAAAGGCGACAGAGAGTAGTTAAGGGTAACATTGTTTCTGATTGAATCAGTGTTTTTAGTGGTATGTCTTTGAACTCAGTTATTGGTCCATTCCTTTTTGTTAGCATTTGAATAGACTTAAGACTGGTTGTTTAAATTCAACATTAACAAGTGTGTTGTAAAGCATTATGACTATACCAAAAAAATCTATTTTTTTAAATAATATACAACTTATTGATTCTGAGGCTAAACAAGATCTTGGAGTTATATTTTCTACCAATCTTAAACAGAAAGATCAAGTAACTATGGCATTTCGTAAAGAAAATCAAATGAGAGGGAGAAATAAAAAATTGTTTGCAAAATTTGATTGATACCTCAGATTCGAAAACAAAGTTATGAAACAAGAATTAAATATTTGGCTCAAGCACACTGGAAAAAAGACGTAAAAGAGGCAACTAGATAGTAATATTTTTGCTTCGCATCAGCCCAACACAAGGAGCCATAATTTCAAAATCAGAAGAGAAACAGCAATCCTTGTCATCAATTCTTAACTAAGTCTCATCAATGTGGAACAAACTACCAGATTTTATCATCAAAAGCGAAAGCTTGAACTTATTCCAAACTCGGATTAATAAATATCTTGAGCTTTATAACTTGTAATTTATAATTTTATTTATTTATCTAGGAAAACTACACAATCTATATGCTGTCAAAGTTAAAGTTAATTTAATTACTACTTATTTCACTCGCAGTTTTCGAACTACTACAGCTTTCTACTATGTTTATATTAACTTAATTAAGATTTATTTTTATTTTATTTATTATTACAGTTCATGTGTGCTTTATAAAAGGAGACTGTTGAAACACACAGTTGAACACTTACAGTTAAACAGTTACAGTTGAAAGAGTACAACGCAAAAAAAAATAAACTTGTTTTATCTGCTAGTAGTCTTAAATACAAATCAGCTAATTGCTTTAGGCTCAACAACAAAATTAAAAAAAAGGAGATTTGATCTAATTATACAAATTTATGAATGGTATCAACATTATAAATGTGGACAAGTCATGAAACGTGGAAAATGTTTTCCTATTGTTAAAAAAAGTTTAAGAGAATATAGATTCTCTTAAAAGGCAAATTCATTATATCATAATGAATTTGCTAAACATCTTTTAAGGGAACATTTTTTTTAAACAGAATTTTAATGGATCGAATTTACTTTTGTTTTAAGTTGCAACAGCAAAATCTGTCAATTGTTTCAAAGCATTTCTTAATTGCTGGTTACTATCAAGCATAACTGTTATAGTGTGTGACAACACACTTGCTGATTCTGTCCAATGCAACTTTTTACAGTCAGATGTTCTTCCTGACATTAAGCTGCTATGCAGATCAAAACTATATATTTTTAAATATAATTCTAAAACTTGGAGGAACCAAGTTGATATAATAATATTATCAAAAATTAAATATTATCATATTATCGAAACCATCTTAAATGTTACTCATTCTGTTACCCACAATTAAAATGCAGATTTAAAAATTAGAGTATTTTTTCATATTGGGAGTATTATAAATATTAGAGTATTTTTTTCTATGTTGGGACAGGTGAGAAACCTCCCAATATCAGTATCAGTTCAACATCATGACTAGTATTAAAAAAGAGCTGATAAGAGACAACTGGGTTAAAAAGAAAAGTTTTTGAGGAAAAAATATTTATTAAGTATGAAACTAGATTTATTGAGAATATAAGAAAAAAGTAAACAGTTGTTGTTAAAATATAAGAAAAAAGTAAACAGTTGTTGCTTAGAAACAACTAAGTAAAATTAGAATCTTTAAAACAAACTTTCTTTTAAAACAAAATTTTTAAACTTTTTGTTTATGTAAGTTTTAAATTTTCACTGAATAAAATATGTTTAAAAAAAAAAACAGAATTTAATAACATAGCAAAAATAGCTTGGCTTAACTTAATATTCATTTACCTGAACTGCACTAAGAGTGTATAAGAGGTGGGGATCATGATTCTTACTAGCACTATAACCACCATTTGGTTGTTTGCATGAGTCCACAAAATCCAAAATCTCATCTTTATTCATTAAAGGCAGTTTCTTCATTAAAGCCATAGCACTTAAACACCAATAAACTCCACTCATACGAAGATACTCAGTCATAATGTAAGTCTACAAAGTAAAAATAATTAATGTTAAACAAATTGTACTAAAAAGCAGATCAATTTTACTAAATGACTTTATTCTCACATAATCATTTTTTTTCTCTTCATATGCTTTGATGAACAATGCATGCTTTTCCAGTAGAAATTCTTTTGGAGCATTTTCTGGAATTTCATTTTCTTTTAGGTGCATAACCTTGAAACAATAGTTATAAATAAATAAAACTTTTTTATTACAACCCATGAGTTTTTGTCAAAGTCAAAACAGTCAAATTTAAATTTATTTCAAAGTTAAAAAAAATACCACTAATATATATATATACATATATATATTTTTGTTATTCACCTCCTCAAGGCCGAGAAGGCCACTACAGACGAGGATGCTACTAAATAGTGGTAATAACCCTCTCTCAACTCTATAACTCCGAAACATGAACCTTGACAAACAAGGCCACTGAGGAGAGAAACAAGTTGAGCGGGGTACTACCAGGGATGTGGTGGGGATCGAACTCAGAACCTCTTGCTTATGAAGCAAGTGATTTACCACTACCACTACCGCATATATATATATATATATATATATATATATATATATATATATATATATATATATATATATATATATATATATATATATATATATATGCGGTAGTGGTGTAGTGGTAAAAATACTAATAAACAACTTTTTTATTTGTTTCATTTTATACTCTCTTTTTGATTATTTGATTATATACTTTTTTTTTATTGTTTTATTTCACAAAATCACTGAAACATAACAACGCAAACATAAAAACATATTTAAAAAAAAAATTTAAAAACATTAAGTATTATACATTTAGGATACACTTAAGATGCCTTTACAATCAAGATGCTTTAAAATTGAAAAATACTTTAAATAATGCTCTCTGGTAGTTCACTTGATTCTATTATACACAAGGTGCAACTTTATAACTTTTTTTCAAAATGAATACTTTGAAAATGCTTAGAATGTATTTTATATGATATCTAAAACATTCTAATTTTTTCAAAAAAATTACAGGAAAAAAAAAATTCTTGATGAGCAACTGTAAGATAAGGATTTACAAGCTGTAACTAAAGTACAACATATACTGACAAAATAAAAAAAACAGCCAGTACAATGAATGTTTGTCTGTACTTTAGTCATTCAGACAATTACAGTAATTGCATGTACATAAATTCATTTATAAACATAAAGTTTCTAAAATTAAACTTAATCTAAAAATAATAACAAACATTTTTTAGAAAAAGTTTCGACTGTAATTTTGATTTATTATAAATACCTTGTTTATATGTGAAGCACCTTAAGAGATAAAGCAGTTAAAAAAACTAGGTAACTACTACAAATAATATACTACAACAACAACTTTACATGTGTTTGAATTATTTATTAGACTCATTATTTTACATACATGTGTTTCAATTATTTATTAGACTCATTATTTTGAATATGTTGTAATTTCTCTAACAATAAAGTTAAAAGACCTAAAGTCATTTAAATAGCAGTAAATTGTTCAAAATTATTGTTCCGTATCATCAACTGTTGGACTTTATATTCAACAGTTGTAAAAATATTACATGTTGATAGATATAAATATATGGAAACAAATTGTAAAACACTCAAAAGTTTAATAAATTAGTAGGCAATTCGATTAAAATAACATAATGATAATACAAAGATTTTTAATGTATGTAAAATAAATTCAGCCAAATTTTAAATTTTCAATTTTTTAAACACCATATTAAAGACATCTTAATTTACAAAAACTGATCAAAAAAAATTTCAAAAATTAAAAATAAAATCTCATAAATTGTCTAATAATAAAAATTTCTGATTTAAAACATTAAATTGTAATTTATTTTTTTGTTTATTTCAATACAATTTCAAATATTTGATCTCCATATTATCATTCCCTTCTTGCTACCTTGTATTGAACAAATAATATCTTTCACTCTTTGCTACCTTGCAATGATCGAGTCTTTAAATCAAACAAGAGCTTTTGCCATTAAACAATCTAGGAATAAGTTTGATTAAACATTAAACAATTATCATAACTAAATAGTTATAATTGGATAAGAACATAATAGAGATACAACATATTTTGAAGTAGAGTAGCAACAAAAAACCAGGACTTTAAATAAGTTTCAGAAAAATAACCAACAATTATTCCGAAAAATAACCAACAATTATTCAGAAATTGTTGCTAACAATTGTTTTTATGATATTTAATCAAGCATCAAAACGTTATATAGAAATAATGTTGAAAAGAACATTGCAGTTTAACAAACTTTTTGAACTCTATTTTAGAATAGATTTAGCTTGCTTTTTCATTAAAACAGTTGATTATTTTATAAATATTATTGTGCTTCAACATTTCTTCCTATTTTCATATATAAAAGTTCGATTGTTACTCTTCTTTGTGAAATTTTTTTTCTAATTTAAAAATTTTAAAAATCGCACTAAAATAGCTTCAAGACAGTTTAAAAATCGCACTAAAATAGCTTCAAGACAGTTTAAAAATCGCACTAAAATAGCTTCAAGACAGTTTAAAAATCGCACTAAAATAGCTTCAAGACAGTTTAAAAATCGCACTAAAATAGCTTCAAGACAGTTTAAAAATCGCACTAAAATAGCTTCAAGACAGTTTAAAAATCGCACTAAAATAGCTTCAAGACAGAGTAATGATAAGAAAAGACTTTTGTAATTAAAACTTGAATGAGTTCAACACTTATTGAATAATTGTTTTTGCGTTATGTAATTCAAATTTAAAGAAAATTTTTTTATAATTGTTTATGAAAAAAGATTTTAAGTTATTAAATATGCTTGTATCTATTTTTTTTGCTACAAGTTGTATTTTACATACTAAGTTAAAAAGGCAACAATAAAAATATTGCGTATTAAAAGGCTCTATCGTTTTTAGAATATTGCGTATTAAAAGATTCTTTCTTTTTTATTCTAAATTTATATAGCTTTTTAAAAACTAATAAAACTCCATAGTTCTTTGTTGTTATTGTTTTGATTTTTTTATAGTTTTTTAAAATATGGTTTTTAATTAAATACTGGTCAACTTATCAAGTTTATTTAAAAATAATTATCAATTAAAAAAAAATCTTCAATGACAAACTTTTAACCTTAGAGGCGCTCACAACAATGTAATAATGAATAATCATTTTAACACTTTTTTAAAATGAATAATGTGTAATTACATTGTAATAAAGTAATATTTTATTTTAAATTCGTTAGATGTTTTTTACTTTTTTTGCTTTGACTCAACCTAAAAAAAAAAAATCTGATAACAATTTAATAAATTTTAGTGTTTTTTTAAAAAAAAAAAAAATTGTATTTTGCATAGGCTTTTTTTCGCCAGTATAAACTAAATTACCCAGGTGTGGAAGTGAGTGTGGGCAATCACTAACCCTTTCTGCTGAGGCCTGTAAATAATAAATAACAATATTACAATAATATTATTTTACAATATAAACAAATACAAAAATTCATCTTTCACTTAATATTATTAGTTATCTTAAATCTTCTTCACTAAACTTTCTTTTTAACTTTTATCCTTGTAATATCTTTTCACAATTATATTTGAGCTATCATTAATAATATTATAATATATAATATAATTTTAAAAGTTAAAAACATAAATACTTAATAATACTAACATTAGTGTTTATATATAAATACCTCGAAATATTTTTCATGCTTACTTTTGAAGTTGTAGTAACTTTAACCAAATTCTTCTTTTAAATTTTCAAAGAACCTTTAAATAGAAAAACTCAAATTTAAAATAATTTTATCATTTTCATAATTTACAAGCATTATACAAAACATTAGAAATTTTAAAAGACAAGCCATTTCAATGACTAGCACTGTGAGCTAGTAATTGAAACAAATTGTGAATCAACACACAGATTATAAACAAATATTATCATACTTTTTAATGCGTAAAAAATTCTCATCCATTTTTATATTTGCAGCAAGAACAAGTTGATAAATGTACTAAAGCAGTTTAAAAAAATCAAAAAAATTTAGAAATGTTCTTAGTTATAAAAAAAAATTTAATAAAATATTAACATTTGGTACCTAATTCTCAATATAATTTATTAAAGTTTTTAAAAAAAATTATGATTTTAAAAAAAATTTGTTAAAAAATAAATTAGTTTAAATAAAAAAAGTTTTAGCAATAGGAATAAAAAACATGGATAAAAGTCATACTTAAAAAACATTGATAAAAGTCATACTTCAAAAGTATACAGTAAAAGTGGTAACTATAATGACATCATGAGGATCAGCAACTTCATAAGATCAAGGCCATAAGAAAGTCATATACATTTGTTATATCAATGCATATAACATTTAGTAACACTGGCACCAAAATACTTTTTCTGAATTTACTTTTTGATAGCATAAAATTTTTATTTTCATTTACACCACTGATACCAACTACAATAAATGATAGCTAATAGAAGAAAGGCTCAGAGAACCCCCTATTTATGTTGTGAGTGTTACAGTTGCAAAAATTGTAAAGAAAAAAAACATCCATTGAAAAATCTTACCATCTTTACCAGATCTTCATCAAGAGAAATATTTTAAAATTTATAATACTTTATTGTTCAAAATTTAAGCTTTACAACACTTTATTGTTATGTTATTGTTAAATTTTATTTTGATTATTGAATTTCACTAAACTTTTTTGACTATTCGCATTTTTTGCTTAAGTTCAAACAAATTTATTATTAATACTAAATTTAGGCTTAAAACTTTGTAATCTGAACAACAAATAATTTTCTCATTAAATAATTTTTATATTTATCTGCCATCTGGAAGAAGAAAAAAACATGTTATAGCTCTTACAATTTTACTCCTAACAAACTGAAAATTTTCACATTTTCTAACTTTTTAAAAAATTGCAATCTTAAAAGAGTTAATGAGATCAGGACACTAAATACTGAATTCTGTATGTTGCGTTTTGAAATATGTTAATGCTTTAAATAAACCCTTGGTAGTATTTTAATAAAAATACAATTAACAACATGGAACAAATGAAAATATGGAAAAAATTTTCAATAATTTTTTTTTAAGATATATATTTTAATTAAGAATATAAATTTTTACTAAATTTATGCACAGAAAAAATCATATATATACAAATTTATATACAAAAAAAGTTATAAAATAACCTACTTCATTAGAAACTTTGACTTTATCATTAAATACAAGTGGAACTTCTAAACCATGACTTTGTCGTACAGCCTGCACAAAAAAGTTGTTCATTTAACATCAAACTAATGCATGTATACAAATACTTATATTGGTCTCAACACATATCAACCACAAAAATGAATACTTTAATAAATAAACTAAATGATAATGAAGTTAGATAATTTTAAAACAGAACTGTATACAAACTACTGTAAAACATGATAAAGGACTGGTTATGATATTGAATTGATTTTATCTTCAGGTGTCAGAAATTTAATTAAAATAGATTCTAAAACAACTGGTGCTGGTTAAGCCAATACTTTGAATGAAAATCTTATTGATAATGTTGCTAATATTGGTTTATTTGTTTTGTATTAATTGTATATGTTTGCATTGCTTCACTATTTGAATGGTATTTGTATGTTTTTGTTGTAAAAACAGCTCATAGCAATTCTGAGAACAGTATAAATTATTTTCTGTAAAACAGTATTACTTTTCACAATTTTTATTTCAGGGTTGTGAAATAAAAAATATTCTCTACTTTATTAGTGCCCCTTTCCTATTTCAAGGATATGAACATGATCATAAAAAATTGAATACTCCTAAATTCCTTCTTAAATATTCAAGCAATAGTGTAATACAGTACTTAAAAACAATAGCTAAAATTATAAGGAACAAATTTCATTGTCATTAATTTTTTAATGGTTGTATTTCAGGATAATTTAATGATGATGATGATGATGATGATGATGATGATAACAATTTTAAAATAATCAATTAAATAAGTAACACTCACCAGCATAATTTTTTTCTTTTTGCCAATTACAAGACCAGAATTTCTATAACCACATGCTAGCGCGATTGCTAACTAAAAAAATATCAGGGTTATTATATATACAAATAAATGTGTAACATTTGTGTATTTAACGAAAATCGTGTATTATATGAAACTCAACCCTCCACCTAACTCCAATAAAGTTAAAATTCAACATTATAACCATGACAGGTACACTTGTTGTAGAAATTAAAACAATTGTAAAATCATCTTGATAATTAAGAGGATAAAATATTGATTGGATCATTACACCACTATTACTTTAGTATTATGCAATACATAACTTTAGTTTATATCAATGAAGATTGCAAGTATTCGTTTTTAATTAAATCAATAAAGATTGCAAGTATTCATTTTTAATTATATCAATGAAGGTTACAAGTATTCATTTTTAATTATATCAATGAAGGTTAAAAGTATTCATTTTTAATTATATCAATGAAGATTGCAAGTATTCGTTTTTAATTATATCAATGACGATTGCAAGTATTCGTTTTTAATTATATCAATGAAGATTGCAAGTATTCGTTTTTAATTATATAGAACTACCATTAAGTTGGATAAAATTTGAAAAAATAATAAATTTAAGAACTAAAAAACTTAAATTTTAGTTAATAAATAATAATATTAAGTTTATACTATAAGCTTAATATTTAATTTAATTTATTAATAAACCAATAAATACTAAAGATAAGTTTAATGAATTTTAGAAATATGTTTAACATGCTTCAACATTTATAAACTAATAAATACTAAAAATAAGTTTCATTAACTTTATAAATATGTTTAACATGCTTCAACATAAAACAATTTAAGTAAAAGATTTAATGACTGAGGAACAAGTTTCAATTTCATTAAACAGGCCTCGAAAGGAAGCCACCATCTTGGTTTTAGGAGAACGTTTCTCTGCTCTTGCATTCATTTACTCTGGCTGAAGATAATATATAGTTTAGAAGTCATAATTGAAAAATGTATTGCTATAGATAATTTACATTTATACAGACATATAAAACAGTATTTTTTAAAGGAAAATCACTTTAAAAAACATGAAAAAGTTTTTTGAGACTTGAAAAATATAAATAAATAAAAGATCAAATATAAGTATTATAAATTGTTATAATAAAAAGCATTAGGTCAACTTGTTTTTATAGAATTCCCACACAAATCAAATATTTACACAAACTTCACAAACAAACTTTTTCAATGACTTTATTTTTTTAACTCCAGTTTACCCCCAGATTTTACATAATAAAATTTAACGTATTTTTTATAGATATGATTGTCCTGAATACCTTAAGGTTTCAAACAAACTAAATTTTGGTGTTGACTTATCTGATTGTTTGTGTTTTTTGAATTTTAAATTGTTGTGACAATTGTTAGTAGCCCAGTGGCTGAGATCAACACTGGAGCAAAGCTACAAGAATTGAGTCCACACAAATCAATACTTTTTTCCTGTTATTTAAAAGCAAAAAAAGAAATAAAAACAAAGTTTCTTTCCTGGAGAGATTTAAGAACTTAATTGTAAGTTTAAGTATGAATGGCCAGTGCTACTTACAATTAAATTATTTTTCTTGCTTTAGAAAATAACTTACAACGATTGTCTTTGGTTTTAGATGTTGACAAAGACCCAATATTATTAATATCAAAAATGAAAATAATTTAAATCAAAGCAATAACTAAGTAAACAATTCCTTTTTCAAAATATTTGCAAAGTGAAATTTATTTTGCAAATATTTATGTACTATGACAACCATTTTAAAACTTAAGTTATGGACAGTAACCAGAGAAATAATATGTATATAACCACTATGCTGTGTTGAATTTAAAATTACATATCTAAGCAGTTTTGAGAATGGATTATTTTAATTTAAGAAATAATTCAAATTTAATAAAAAAAAATTTTTTTGCCCTTCAAAATTTTTATCATAAAAAGAAAAAGCAGTATATTTAATTAAAAAAATTTCAAAGGTGCTTAAAAAATTTATTCATTCAAGTTTGCAAATTGCTTTAGACCACCGTACCTTTTAATTGCTTTATTCAAACTTTGCTATATATATATAGTGAAAAAGAGTAAAGAAATGAAATAAAACACAAAATACCATATTTTGAGCTTGCTCAAGATTTCTGCATTGTAAATGTAGGATAAATGCTTCAAACTTGAATGTAACATTTTCATCTGTTTCATTAACTGCGTTAATCTAATATTTTGTAAAAAAACCCAAATCTTTAAAAAAAATGCAATAATAATATTAAAAAAATTAAAACACTGTTTAATTATCATACCACATCAACAGCATCTATTTTTCCATGTGAAGTGACAAGCCATTTACAACCTTTCTTCTTATTTTCTGACTGATAAAAAAATATGTAATTTTTTTTTTCAAAGCATCATTATTACTATCAGTAGCACATACAGAATTTTTAAAAAAATTATAATTTATTATCTTATCTATGTAAGGTGGTAAGGTCAACCTTAATTTACCCACTTTACCCAAGTAAAATAGTAAGATCTCAAAATTTTGATTTTCATATAAATATATTTTTATATAGATCAAAAGAATTTTTTAAAAATTTAAATTTTTATTGCCCTATTATAATAAGCAGCAGCTTATTAATATTATTGATATTATTTATAAAATATTTTTTTTATATCCTAAACTATTTTTCTCCTTATTAATAATTACTATAGTATATAATTTCTAAAAAAACAATTAAAAAATAAAATAACTTGTACCCACTTGTGTAAAAACAATAGTGCGACCTGAGCATGAACTTGTTGTAAAAAAATCTGAAAGGGAGTTTAAGTAAATAATAAGGTCTTCAATAGGTTCATCAAAGCTTCCTTTCTTACTTTGGTCTATTCCATTAAGGCTTTCTTTTTTTTGCTTATCAAATATATCAGTCATTATTTAATATTATGAGGTTAATATTTAGTGAAGCAATTTAACTACTCAATCTAATTTTTACTAAATGATAATAGTATTATTAACATATTTATAATATTAATATGTATATGTAAAATAAAGCAGGTAAACTTTTGTTAGATATGTTTAATATTTTAAATAAAAATGATAATAAAAGAACTTTTTAAAATGTTAAAAAAAAAGTAATATAACAAACAAAATATAAACAAATCAAAACAAAACTAAATTAAATTGATATAATTTTTACAAAAATTTTTAGTACTAGGAATCGCGAAGAGAATCATTCTTGCTACTTTTTTCTTGGTTACTTTCTGGCATACTTTTCTTAAATATACGAAATGAACTGTAATTTTTTAATAGATTTTCAGCTACATTAACATCCAAGTTGTAGTGTTCACTTATTTTTGCTGAGTTCCATGTCTCAGGATCAATTTTTCTATTTAAAAACAAGTCTTCAATATCTTTGCAACTAAGTTTGCCGTGCCTCTTTGCTTGGACCTTTTCAGTCAACTTTCCTCTATGTAAATATTCATTAGGACCAACTCCTGTTGAATTAACACAAACCTCTTCAAGCATTTTATTTAAATTTACATTTCGTTCATTTACAGCTGTTTTAAAGTGAGGATTAGCTTCAACAAGATCATCAAATGCCTTTACAGTTGTAGGATGTCTTGGAGATACACTTTTAGTGTCCAAGACTTTGTCAACATTTTTAAAAACTGCAGCAGGTGTTCGAGAGATTTTCTTCAATTTAGCCAATTGTAACCCCATCTAATAATTTAATCTAATAATAAAACATTAAAATTTTTAAAAATCCTAAATTTGTTTATGCCAATAAGTATTATAATTATTTGAATATATAAGTAATTAGAAACAAACAAATTAAAAGAAATTGTGTTGTAGTGTAGTTGTTTCAGAAACGAGTACTCTACCATTATGCCATTACCAGAGCACTGAGTTCAAAACTGCTGAAAGTCCTGTTAGTAGCAACCCCCATGAAAGTCCTGTTAGTAGCAACCCCCCTGAAAGTCCTGTTAGTAGCAACCCCCTGAAAGTCCTGTTAGTAGCAACCCCCCAGAAAGTCCTGTTAGTAGCATGTTTAACTTATTTTTCTGTGCAGTCTTGTTCATCAAAATTCATTTTTTGGAGTCATACAATGGAGAGAGGGTTGTAATAATAATACATTTTAAAAAAATATGTTAAATACAATAATATATATATATATATATATATATATATATATATATATATATATATATATATATATATATATATATATATATATATATATATATATATATATATATATATATACATAACTCAAAGTTGGGAAATTTAGTCATATGCAAAAAGTTGTTCTTTTATGTACTGATTTAGAAAAAAAATAACTTGTGTTATATAATTGTGTTAAATAAGTGGATAGAAAAATATTAAATAAAACTGTCATTGCAAAGTTTACATCTATTTTTGAAAAAAAAAAATTCCAATAAAATTAGGGCCTTATTAATTTTCCAATAAAAACTGGAAAATACAACCAAAACTTTGACACTTTTAATTGTTAATTGGGGATAGAGTTGTTATTTCATTCAAAACCTTACTGAATCTGACATTGTTTTGGAACTAGAAAATGCAACATTTAGCAAAGTTTTGATAAAATGTATTATATTTTATCAAAACTTTGCTAAATGTTGATTGGAAAATTAATGTTCTTAATAGAATCAGAAGGCATGTGTCAGTCATTTTTATTCCAAATTTATTAACAAAACCCACTATAAATTTGTAAATGTGATATCATCCTCTATTTTTTCCAAGCCAGAGGACATCATCCGCTATTTTTTCCAAGCCAGAAATTAAATCAAAGAAATAAATCTAAACTAAAGCAAAAAATACAAGAATTACAAATAGCAAAAAAAAAAATTTTAATTCATTTAAAATAATGAAATATAAGCAATTGGAATCACAACGGTTTGCAGATATAAAGAAACATTAATAAAACAAAAATTATTTACAGTGTCAGTTCAATGCAGTGATGATTGGAGAGGAATATAATCAACAAAATTTGCTGACATTTTACAAAAATCTTGACCAAAATAAATAAAGCAATATAGCTTTTGACAATGTAAAAATGATGGTTGTCTTGTTTGGTAGAATATACTTGTGTAAAAGTGTGTTTTCTCTGATGAAATTTGCTAAATCTAAAACAAGATCTGTATTGACAGATACTAAATTGCAGAATACTTTAAGAACCCCAACCGGTCAGATGCCAATTGACATTAAAAACATTTTGAAAAAAAAAGCAGATTCATGATTACCAATAAAGTATTATTTTTACTGTACCTATTAGCTAGTTAGTATATGTGAGCATCGTACTCCTTTGCAAGATAGCATAATAAATTAAAAGAATAAATATTTTAAAATAAACTTTTAAAAACTCTGACCTCCAATTAACATTTAAAAAGCTAGCTTTAGCCCTCATCAAAAAAGTTGTGGCTTACCCTGATATATATATATATATATATATATATATATATGTATATATATATATATATATATATATATATATATATATATATATATATATATATATATATATATATATATATATATATATATATATATAAACACACACATACCTATAGATACTTAAATATAAGATTGCACTTAAAACAGCATTTTTTGTAAATGTCTGCTCTCCTAATATATATATATATATATATATATATATATATATATATATATATATATATATATATATATATATATATATACATACACACTTTTTGTTGCTATTATAATTTATGTGCAACAAGAAATATTGCTGAAATATTTTAAATTTTGTAATGCATTATGGAATTAAAAGTTCATTTGACAAAAAATTCAACACAAGAAAAAAACATTTCATTGTAGTCATTATAAGTATGTTTTTACAAGTTGATGCACAAAATTTTTTTAAAAATTCATAAAAATCTATCAAAAATTATCTTTATATTTAAGTTTATTTATGCTTGAGGTTTTTGTCTAAAGCATTTAGGTGCATTTTCCCCATCCAAAACTTCTTGAATATTTTTCTACAAAATAAAAAATGTTAATTTTTAAAAATAATTACTTATAATGTAATAAGCAAAAAGTTGACTAGTAAATATAAACAAAAAATCTTATAATTAAACATCAATAGTAATTTTATAGATTGTAAATAAGTAGGGTGTATCATAAAAATAGGCTGTTAAAAAAAAAAGTGATAACAATAAAGTTTATCAAAATATTAAATAATTTATATGAATTTATATGATTGGATGTATTAAAAAGGTTTATGTAAAAAGATTGAATAAAAAGTTTATTATAAAGAGTTAGTTGTGCTGTAAACATTTTAACAATGAAAAAAACAAAAAATGACTTTATGTTTATTGTATTAATCATTTATGTACCATATATAAATGATATAAAAAAAAGCCTATACATTATAAATGAACAAAAAAATATTTTATAAGACGATTAAGTAATAAGAAATAACCTTTCAAACTCATAAGATTCTTCATATGAATTAGAAGCTGCGTACATAACAGACATCTTCAAATTCTGTAGAAGTTGAGAATCAATCTTTGCCAAATTTTGCTCATTTAATAACCACTTGATGCAAGATTCTAATGCATCCTAAATCAACATATTTATACATATATACACATGCACACACAAATATATACTTATATATATTTGTGTACTCAATATTCTTAAAAGAATAGAACAATAAATTAGTAGAAAACCACTAATCAAATTTAATTTATTTAACAGGTTATATATACATATCTAAATATATAAACTTGTTACGAAACTAAATATATAAAGTTGTTACGAAACTTAATTCTAAACCCACGTTGCAAAATTTTATAACAATGGAATGTATAAAAGATTTGCTTTTTTTAAAGTTAAAGGGCTTTTAAAAATCCATTTAGGGTAAGGTTAATTTTTGTTTTTGGCAATTAAGAGTAAACTGCTTTTGATAATAAATGAACAAAAGTAAAAAAATATCAGTCCTTGTAACTATCGCGCAAGTTTAATTTTTAAATGAATGAATCTTTAGCTTGCTATTTTAGTTTATGTGAGAAAAATGAAAAAACAAAGTATAAACTTTTTCAGACAGTTTTTTTTCCTTTCAATAATCTTTTTAAAATAATAAAAAAAAGGTTTCAATAACTAAATAAAAGTTTTATTTAGATCTGTTTAAAATAACCATAAATGTAATTTATTTATTCAAATGTAATTTTTTAAATTATTCCTAATAATTAAAAATATATATTTTTTAAAATATATGTTTTTCAAAATATAATATGGTTTTAATCAAAATAATAGAATATTTTTTAGATTATGTTTACTGTAATTATCTCTTTAATTATCTTTAATGTAAAAGGCGCCTTAAAAACACTTTAAAAATTATAACCTTTAGTAAAAGTTAAATGAACAGATTTACTAATAATTAAATCAAAATTTTAAATTTAAAATAATAGAAAATAAGTTTATAAAATTATGTTTTTATTCAAATAGTTTATTAAACACGTTTATTAAATGCTTATCGAATTTGTTTATTAAATGCTTATGTTTTTAATTCAAATATAAGACGTAAAACTATTTTGTTAATTTTACAAATATTATGCAATATAATATATGTAAATATATTTTGTAATGTAAATATTGATTAAAACTTGTTTTAAATATTTTTAATTATTATTTTAAATCAAATTTACTAAAATATAGTTAATAACTGTTTAAAATACTCTAAACAATTTTCAATAATTATTTACTGATAGCGTGGTATACGCAACAAAAGCATTTATTAAAATCTTAAGTAAAATAGTTTTCTTTTAGCCAAAGTAACATCGTCCAACAGTAAATTCACGTATTCAAAAAATACCTTTAAATCAACACCTTATTATAGGGTGAAACTGATGAAGATAAACATAAATGATTATTAAGAAAATGATAAAAATTATTGAGAATGAAGGGAAATTTAAACAGAATGGAGCCTGAAAGTGTCTCAATAAATGTATAATAAACTAATTGACTCGATTAAACAGAATGGAACCTGAAAGTGTCTCAACAAATGTATAATAAACCAATTGACTCGATTAAACAGAATGGAACCTGAAAGTGTCTCAACAAATGTATAATAAACCAATTGACTTGATTCATTTAATAACATTACAACAATCATAAATATTGTACAAATGTTGTAAAAAAAAAACATTTAAATTTTCATACATTTTTCTCATTCTTTTGGAGTTAGGTATTTTCTGCTTTTTAAACTTTTAGTAAAATGAAAACTAACTTTTCAAGAATATTAAAAATGATATTTAAAATATTAAATTATAAATTCAAATTACTTTATAACATTAAAAAAAAAAAAACTTTTCAGTCATAAATGAATAATGTATAATGCAAAAAAACAATACCATTTAGCCGAAATTCAAAGTTTTTTTGAATAAAGAAATTAAAATTATTACCTTATCATCGCAAACAATTTTATCTGCTAGGCCAATTTGAATTGCTTCCTCAGCTGTCACTAAGCAACCAGACATCAACAACCTTAAAGCATTTTTTTTACCAATAATATTAACAAGTCGTGTTGTACCTCCAAACCCTGTTGTGATGCTAAGTCGTGTTTGAACAAAACCTATTACTAATTAAAAAAAAAAAATTTAATTAGTAGAGTTTTTCATATTGAGAATCTTGTTTAATTTTTAACTGGAAAGTTAAAAATTAAACAAGATTCTCAATACGAAAAACTGAAATTAAAAATTTTTGTTTTTAATATATCATTATTTCAAGAGGACTATAAAAATTAAATAAATGAACTTAAGATGGCACAGAAACTTATAAAATTTCTTTTAGCAGATTTTTATTAAAGCACCAGAAGGTATTTTGAAAAAATTAAATATAAATAATTACTAATAAAGTACATCAGTAATAATAAAAAATAATAAACTACAACAAACAAAAATGATAACTTCATTGTAATACTTAAAAACAACATAAATGGTAATGTATCACAATGAAAACAAATTTTTAGAACTCAATTTATATTTTATAAAAAAATAACTTCATTGTAATACTTAAAAACAACATAAATGGTAATGTATCACAATGAAAACAAATTTTTAGAAGTCAATTTATATTTTATAAAAAAATCCTTTTTTTCTTCTTTATCATAAGTTTTTAAAATGTATACAAAACAATATAACCAATAGCAACACACAAGATATGTCACAGAAGACGCAAAAATTCACATAATCAAAATAAGAGTTTCTAAAACTGTTGATTTTATATTGTAAGCATATCCATTTAATAGAGAGAAAAGCTGCAATCCATTTAATAGAGATAAATTAAACTTGACCAAAATGTTTATTGAAAAATAAAAATAAAAAAATACACTATAAGTAATATCATAAAGAATTATTTTGTTTAATAAAAAAATTATTATTACCAGCACTTTGTTGCATTACTCTAAAGTCAGTTGATGTAAGAATCTAAATTGAAATAATCAAAAAGTAAATAGAAATAGAAAATTAGAAAAAAAAAAACGCTACTGAAAAATATTTACCTCAGCTCCTCCACCCAATGCATTACCCTGCACCAAAGAAACAGAAATAAATGGCAATTTTGAAAATTCTGAAGTCAAAGATTGCATAAACTTTGACATAAGATATCCATGTTGTGGTGTTTCCATGTGACGGACAAACGATTTTAAATCACCACCACTGCAAAACTGTTTATTTGCACCCTGTAATATAATACATTTCCCTTGTTCCCAGTTATGCAGCTCCTTTACTATGGATCTAAATTTAAGCATCATCGAGCCAGTAAAAGCATTTTTACTTGATGGATTATCAAAGGTAATTACAGCAATACCATCGTCATTATAAAAATGCAAATTCACATCTCCACCTTTGTAAACATCAAGATTTTTAACAAAATTTTCATATTCTTTTTCTTTTTCCTTGTTTCTGAAAATATTGTGACAATAGATACTTCTTGATAAATACTTATCCTTTAAAACATATTTTATTGAATGCAGTTTTGGTAAAAATCTGTACAAAAGAAGCACCATTTTTATACTTTGTTTAACATTAATACTACATGACACAAGAGCTTATTTAGTCAAAAAAAGTAATTTAAAATACATTTTCTATGTATTCGTTACAGCAGATACATACAGGGCCAGATTTACACCATCCAGACGCTAGGCTGAATCAATTTTGGAGGCCCTCGAAAATATTTTGATTGAAAACCATTATACATATTATATATATAGAATTAAACTGTTTTTTTGTTTGCTTTTGTATTTTCACTTTTTTATTTAGTTTTATATAAATTTGTTCTAGAATTCCTTTGAGAAGAATTAATCTCCAAGGGGTTTACAATTGTGTTGTTATTGTTAATGGTTGTGCAAATAGAACTTTACAAAATGTAGCAATCATGAAAATCATGAAATTAATATATTTTATTAATGATAAAAGCCCTAGCAAATATTTTTAGAATCCATTTTGGGGCCCCCAAAATTGTAGGGCTCTATGCTGCAGCTTAGTTGGCTTATAAGTAAATACGGCCCTGGATATATAGCCATCATAAAGTTAAAAAAGAAAACAGTTGATAATAAATAATATATATTCATGCATTTTTAGATCAAAAATATTTTAAAAATTAAATGAAAAACTAAAGTACACACGTACACACACATTAAAAAGTACACATACATACACATACACACACATTAAAAAGTACACATACATACACATACACACACATTCAAAGTTTACAGATTTAAACCTAGCGAGTTCAAAGCAAAGTAGTTAAAAGTAGTAAAACTAGGATTTTTAGTGTTTAAAATTACTTTTAAGAATGGTACATATTGTAAACTTTTGTATGCTCATACTGGAAACAAATTAGGATGTTGGTATGAAAGTAAAAAAAGTTTGATAATTCTACCGTGTGTGTAAGTAAGCTTATCTCAAATATGAAAAAATCAATTTTCTGGATAAAGGTTGTTAAAAGTAACTTCAAATTATCTATCCTACACAATCATCAAGAAGATAATGGCTTTAAAAAGAATCTGTTATTAATAATTGATCACAATTATGTATAACATATTTTCTATTTATTATCATAATACATATTAATTATTTTATTTTCATTTATTGAATATATTTCATTAAATTGTTTTGTTCTTTGACACATTTTAGTTAACACCATAGTGTTTGTCTCAATAACATAAATATATGTTAAAGTTTCGATGTAGAGATTTGTTGTAAGGATGCAAACTTTTGATCTGTCTATTTTACTATGTAAACATTAACTTTAATGATGAAATTTACAAACATCTAGTTTCTGCCTAGCAACTGCTTATTGGTCAATAAGAGTACCACGAGGCTTCTTAGCTTTGTTAACTGCAAGTTCCTAAAATATTTTTTCAGAAAATTTTTTAAAATATTCTTTGTTAAAGGTACAAACTAAAAAACCAGATAAAATTGAAACTTACTGTATCTACAGCCCGTTGTTGGGCTGTTTTTCTTTTTTCTAATTGTGCAGATATTATTCGCGCATTCTGAGCATATGATGAAGCTATTTCCGCCTGTTAAAGTATAAATAACTTTTAAACATGAAAAAAAAAAGTAATAACAAAAAATAGCTGTTTTAATTTTGTTAACAAAGATTTTTGAAACTTTTTGTATATTTTTTCCTGATTTATTCTATGGGGTAATAAATTTCTTTTTAAAAGAAATCTGAAAATATATAAATTTAAAACTTTCTTTTTTTTTATGTATCTGTAGAAAAAGTTGAAAATATTCTTTCTTAAAAATTTTCTTACTGCTTCAACTTCTTCTTCTTCTTCATCCACAGTAGACACTGTCACTGAACCAAACTTGCCCATTTCTTTTGTGTGTTTCTTCACCATAATCTGACATTATGAGAAAATTAAATAAAACATGTTCATATGTATTAGACTTGAGGTAACTGAGACAAGTAGAGGTAACTGACAATTATTGTCAGATACCTTTACTTTTTATTATAACTGACAATAATAATATAATACTATTATTTTTATTACTATTATTATTAATTTTATTATCATTATTTTTATTACAATAATTGTTACAATTATTGGTTACAAAAATTTATACAAGATAAAAACTTTTCAGATATACTACCATTAATGCACTGTGAGACAGAATTGCTCAAAAACTGACAGAAATGAAGTGTTATTGAACATTGTTTGGTGGTAATTTATAAAATATTTTTTTCTGGTAATAATATTTATTTTAAAAAAAGTAAAATTGTGGCTACCATGAGAGATTCTGGGTGTATTAAAATGGACAAGCAATTTTATTTTTCAAAAGAAGAAATCAGCTAACAAAACATAAAGAAGTACATTTAAATGCATTAAATAAATTGATCTTTATTTATATAACAGTATAAATCTCTTTGGTAAAAATTTAAAAATAACAATAAACTTTGGTTAAACAGCTCCATTTATTTAAATCAACATACAGAAGGGAAAGTTGCAGAAATAAAAGAAATCTTCAAACTTTTGCAAACAAACAATCTGAAGGAAATCAAAAGTTTTTAGAGACAAATTTCCTATCTGTTTTGACTTTCACTACCCAAATAGGTTTGAGAGATAAAAAACTGTTACATGTATCAAAAATATTGAAAGAAGATAGAGAAAGTCCTGAATATGCAAATAAATATAGAAAGGTATGTAAGAAAATTTAAGAAAGTGTATAAGAAATTAATTTAACAACAACAACAAATGTCAAGTAAAGATGTTTTGAGTATTTTGGTATAAACAAAGCTATCCAAATATCAATTTTATGTTTTTAGAAAGTGTCCCTGAAAGGTTTCCTTCATTAAAAAATGGTCAAGCAGCTAAGAAATTCTATTATCCTACTGACATAGATGTAACAGAAATTTATGCTATGGTTCTTTGCAAGCTTTGCTGAACCACACAATAGAGCGCTTACTTCTAGCTGTGGAGCCTGTTATTAAGACTATTTCAAATGAAGAATTAAACTAGCTTCAATTAATTTCAAAGTGGGGGTTTGATGGCTCTTTAAGCCATAGTTCATATAAACAGGCATTTTATGATTTTAAAACCAGTAATTCAGCTGTTTTAATTTTTTTGTTATCTCAGCGGTTAATTATTTTGACTTAAACAAGTGACTTTATGTTTTAGTTTATGATTTGTAATAATTTAGACTACTTCAGCATATTTTAATAAACATAAGGCACTGGCTAGATTGCATTTGTTTATTTATAAAACAAAAATTTGAACTTGAATATTCAATTAGAGTACTCTGGTTAGTTAAAATCTATAATTCCTTGATCATGTTTTTGATATCTTTATTTCAGTTACATTTGATAATATCTTTAATAGCTATTAAACATATTTAAACATTTTAAGAATTTTTGTGTTCTCATTTAGTTTTAAAGATTTCTTTTACATGTTAAAATTTTATTTTACAATTTAAAATGGGTGAAAGCTGAAAAATGGGTAAATTTTAAGTAAGAGAAATAAAAAAGATTTTCTTTTCAAATACAAGATAAACTGCCAAAAATATCAGGTGTACAATCAGTTTAATCATATTAGGATTAGCACTTTTGGCTCGAAAGAAATTCGGCTTGCATGGGGATGTAGCTGCTAGTAAACCATTATTAAGGTTAATTAATAAAACAAAAAGGCTAAAATGGGTTAAAACATACCCACATTGGTCAATTGAACAATGGAAAAATGTTCTTTGGACAGATCACAAAACATCGTGTTTTTGTACGAAGATAAAAATAAATATTCAGAAGATTGTTTACTGTTAACAGTTTGTTTTTATGCACAATAATGATCAAAACATACCAGCAAAACCTGCAAAAGCTATTAAAAAGATTTTCAAAACCAGTAAGCACTAAAAATAATGGAACCACCACCACAATTGAATTATGGAACCACCACCACAATCGATAGATCTTAATCCAATTGAGTTACTATAAAAAAAACTTGAGAGAGAAAGAAAGTGCGAGAAGAGCAGCTATTTTCTATAAAATCTTTGGCACATATTGCAAGTGAAATGGTCAAAAATAAATTGATTGATCGTATGCCAAAAATCTATGCATTTGTAAAAGAATAAAGGAGGTTATTTTGACGAACCAAAAATTTAAATAAAATGTGAGTTAAAATTAGAATACATACATCAAGCTTGGCCAGAAAGGCATACAATTTCATGTCATATGACCACGCAAATACTATATAATTTTACTTAACTTGACCACAGCTATTAATATGTTTTGAAATATTGTATACGTTTTAAAATCATGCTTAAAAAATTATCTGAACTATAAAGAAATTTAAAATTTTTTTTTTATAATTTTTTAAGAAAATTCTAGATATATAAGACTTTTTTTATAAATTGACAATTGTACCCCCCCCCCCCCACTTCAAAACACGTGTTGTCGGCCCTGGAAAAACAAAATAAAATTAACTTAACTAAAACTAAAATAGCAAAATTAATTAAAACAAATTATAAACTATAACGTAAAGATTTTCGTTTGGAAAAAAAAACTTTGAATCGTTTACTTACATTTTTATAATTTAATATTATGCGAAAGTCTTTAAATAAAGTAAGAATTTACAACTGACGATTGTTTAATAAACGCGCTCATTTATAAGTTTAAAAAAAGGTTATTAACAATTCTTTGCAAAAATAATTAAATCATTTATTAAAAAAATTGGTATAATTTTTTTTTATTTAAAAACATTTATAATAAAAAATAAAAACTTATAAATATATATTATTCATTAATGTTTTTATAAAATAACATTAGCAGTGATTTATTACTTTCTTTAAATTTGTTTCAATAATATAAAAACGTAAGTAAAGATTAAAGTTATTTAATTCAAACGGCTTTCAAAAAAGTTAACTAAACTCTAATGATTCTTATAAAGTTTATTAAATGGACCTTCACTGTTTTCACTGTTTAAAGTTATTGCTTATAAAATTTAATTTTTTTTTTCATCTTTATTTTCTTTATTTTTACTTATAAAAAAAAATCTTATATAATTAAATAATATAAATAAAAAATTATACAACTTTTAATGATAATTAAATTAATATCATTAGCTACTTAATTTAAAAGCGTTTTGCTAATACAAAAACATTAGTAAACTCAGCATAAGGAGAGATCTGAAGAAAAATATAGCGTTTAGGCCCTTTCGTTTTCAAAAAATGGTGTTTTATTTTGTGTGCATTTTGATTGGTTTATTTTTTTTAAAAAATCATGAAGCTCGTTGTTTTATTTTGTTTACAAATATTCGTTGATTTTATTATCTACGAGTTTGAAGTTTTAGCTAAATACTATGGGGCAAAAGTTATATAAAAGCTGAAATGTTTTTGTTTAGTAATTTATTCAAACGACTATAAAGAGATTATGAAAGTAAATTGCTTTAAGTAAAAACTAATGTAAAAACTTTGATTTTAATGTTTTTACTGTTTACTGAAAGATAAAATAAGAGGTTTTTAGTCATTTATTGAATATTTTAATGCTGTAAACAAGAAGTCTTTTTACTTTCGAATAAAAGAGACATTTTTGGAATATAAATACCTTATACATTTGTTTCAGCTGTTTTTATGACGCTGCCCCATCGTGTTTTATGTATTTTAGTGGTAGTTTTGTTTTGCTTAATGCTTTGAATAAAAAAAGATTTATAAAAAAAAAAAAAATTTATTTAAGAAAACCTTAAAGTCTTCTTTTTAAAAATATATAACAGTACTGTTATATATTTTTAAAAAGAAGACTTTAAGGTTTTCTTAAATAAATAAAAGTAATAGTCGCTTAAAGTAATAGTCGCTTGAGCGACTATTACTGCAGTAATAGTCGAAAATAAGCGGAAAACACAAAAAAATGAAGTTTAAAAATGTAAATTTTTGTTTTTAAGAGAAGTCAACTTTAGAACCAGGGAACCTAATAACTGGTTATTTATTAAATGAAAGACACTATTTTATAGCTTACGTGTATACGGTATTTGTTGAAATAAAAGACACTTTACTAGTTATGATAAAATAAACCATACTTTTTTTTTTGGTACTGGCTTTGCAAGTGGTGCAGGGTCAGAAGGATCAGCTTTTGCTTTTGCAATTGCTCCTATCGAATGAGAAAAAATTACCATTTTACTATTCCATACTATAAATAAAAATCTAAAACTATAAGTTGTTATACTTAGATTTCTGTAAGAAAGTTCTGGTAAAAAGTTAGAAATCTATTTCTAAATTATAAATTATGAAATTTTTTTATAATGAATCAGTTTTTTTTTCTTTAGCAGTTATTATCAAAAAGCTTATTGGTAGTGTTTAATTTATTTACAATGTTCGACTGTTTAAAGTTAAATAGTAGAATAGTGGTGTAGGAGTAGACCGCTCTCTTCCTAAGCAAAAAGTTCTGGGTTTAGTTGAAAGTCTATTGTCTACTAGATTATTGTCAAATGAGGTAAAAATGAACAATGGATTAAAAATGAACAATGAGGTGAAAATATACATCACTACCTTGTTTATTAAATGGTTTTATTGACACAATGGTTTCATTGACATAACTATAAAATAATTTAAATTTACTTGATTCCGTTAAAGCTAATATATAAAGAAGCTAACTTTTGGTTACCAACACTATTTTCCTTTTTGTCTTTTCTTTATCGCATATAAAAAGCAATAATTATGAGTCAGTAAAGTTATATATCAAACAATCACGCAGTAAAGTTATATATTAAACAATCTCTCGAGGATTGCATATCGAAACATAAAAAAAGTTTTATCAAGTTCAAGCATATATTATTTTAACAAAGTCATAATTTACGATAGATTGAGCAAAACCATATTATCAGTGCTGTGGCTCATTTATGAATAAGAAAATTAATACAAGCTTGACATCAAAAACAAATGTGCATGCAACATGCGCGCACCATTTGATGATTAAGAAGCAACTGATGATTGTTTTGTTTCTATGAAATGAAGCATTGTGAATATTGTGGTATAAAATATTTTGAAGAAAAAAATTTTAAAACAAAAACATTTAGTAGCATTTAAAGTCACCCTAAATATGCTGTTCATTCTCACTCTGCTAAAATCAATAAATCAAAGAATTTATTGAGAAAAGATAAAGTCTTCGATTTTCTAGAGACTGGAAAGCATGATGAGCTGTTAAAATGAAGTGGACAGTTGCAATGAAATCAACAGTTTCTACAATCCAAATATATTTAAATAGTGTTTCACTTGATTTGGCAATACATTGTATAGAAAAAATCACTTACACAATGATTATGCATGCATTTTTTTTTAATTTAAAATTAGAATAATTACACATTTTTCTAATAGTTAAAGATTATCGTAAAATAAAAATTTTTTAACAGATTATCATAAAAGAGATTATTAAAATACCTTAAGCATTATAAGCATAGAATAAACCTTGTTTATTAAAATGCCATAAACTTTACAAAACATAGAACAAACCTCATTTATTAAAATGACTTAAACATTAAAACATAGAATAAACCTCACTTGCTAAAATGCCTTAAACATTATAAACATAGAATAAACCTTGTTTATTAAAATATCTTAAACATTACAAACATAGAACAAACCTCATTTATTAAAATGACTTAAACATTATAAACATAGAATAAACCTTGTTTATTAAAATATCTTAAACATTACAAACATAGAACAAACCTCATTTATTAAAATGACTTAAACATTATAAACATAGAATAAACCTTGTTTATTAAAATACTTTAAACATTACAAACAGAATAAACCTCATTAAATTAAAGATTTAATTTATTTCTAATTTAAAATATCAAAATCCAAGATTGCATTTTGAAACATTAATGCTGACCACTAATTAAATTGCAGCAAAAGGTCACATTTTGTTAAGCACATTTCATAACTACAAAGGAAACAAAAAATTAGAAACAAATTTTTACAGGAAACAAATAATGAAAAACAATCATACCATCTACAATAAATGTAACTTTAGTTTTCTTTTCATGGCGATAAAAAAGAAGCAAGCCGCATCTACAAAATTTTAAAGAATTATTATTGATTAAAAACTAATAACAACTAATAAAAAATAAAACTACTGTATCATAAAGTTTAAATTTTATTCTTTAATAAAACAAATTAATGACAATGAATAAAACAAATTATAAACAAATTAATATATACATGACTGAAAAAATGTTTCGACTGGCAAGCAAACAACAGAAAAGTAAAGAGTTATTACTAGTTTCAAAATACCATCCCATCTAATAATTGTTTTATTGAACGATATAAAAAGAGTGAACACAGTGGGACAGAGTGTGCCAAAATACCAAAAAATCAATGTTAGCATTGCGCGGTGAAAATTTATCATAATGGTGGCGACATAATCATTAGAGGAAATATATAGTTAAAAAATATTAAATATTAGTTTAAGATTTATTTTATGCGGTTATTTACATGTTAACTTGACATGTGTTCCAAGACGCTATTTTGCATTTTATATTTATCAACTTTTTTACGCTACTATTGTTTTGAATTAACTTTATTGACTTTCATTTGAAAATATATTATTTTAATTAACAATGTTTTTTTCGCTCAGACTTTTAAAAATAAATTAACATAAGTGTAATCATTAGTTTTTATGCATCAAAAACAGACAGTTTTTGATTTTTTTTTTTGCTATTAACCTTTACTATCAGGTATTAGATAAACCAAATACTTGATTATGTATCTCATGCTAACTTGATTATGTATCTCATGCTAATAACTTTGATTATGTATCTCATGCTAATAACTTGATTATATATCTCATGCTAAACATATTTAAATAGCCATGCATCATAAATATTTTGCTACTTTTTGCAATAAATAAAAATATAACAAAATATTGGTCTTTGGTAATGGTCAGTTGATGAGAAATACTGAACATGTAAAAAAGATGTTTTGTACACAAAGAATACAAACAAAATCTTTCAATACTGTTATGATATTTAAGTTTTATAAATATAAATATAAAAAAGTTATTTTATGATAAACACATGCATTGAAAAGTAATATTTTTGATGTTTACACTGTTGTCTTTTCCATTGAAAATATTTTGTATTTTTCACCAAAAATGTTTATTACTTTATTTATGCATTTTATATATAAATATAGCTATTCTAATTAAAATAAGAAAATAATTTTGGCACAAAAAAATTGATTTTGTCCCATTGCAGAGAGGTAGAATTGTTTATATGATTAAATATCCCTCTTAATGCCAAAAAATGTTTCATTAAAAAATATTAATGTTTCAATTAAAATTATTTCTTATAAAATAATATTTTAACTAATACTAATCGCCTGGTTAAAATTAAATGTCTGTTTATATTTTTATCTCAAGGTAATTAAAAAGCAATATAAAATGCAAAACCTGTTAGCAAATTATAATTTTAGTTATCATTAATACAGCGAAATTGATATAAATTCCTATAGAAGTGAAGAATATATCTAAAATAATTCAAATCCTCAAATTGAATTTTTCTCAAATTAAATTTTTCTCAAATTGAATTTTTCTCAAACTGAAATTTTTAAACTTCAAATTTTATTTCATGATTTTGCCTATAAGTATTATCTGTATATTTATATTTTAGGATTTATAATAAAAATTGTCAAATTATTTGATAAATTTGAATTATTTAATAAAACATGTAACCAAGTCATTAAATACATGAGATTTTCCGTTTTTTTAATTTTTAAGTAAATTTTATTTGAAAAGCATGCCATCACAAGTTATTAAACAAAAGTTAATTGTAACTAGGGTTACTTAAAGTTAAAAATATGTGAGTTTTGTTATAGTTATAAAGTTTTATAACCATAACAAAACTCACAAACTTTAGTGGCAAAAAATTTTTATTTAAGTTCAAAAATTTAAATTATTAAAATAAAAGTTAAACTATTAAAATAAAATTATTAAAATTACTTTTTTACTTTTAAACAGAAAAATTGATTAAAAATAACAGAAAATATGAAAAATGACTATTTTCAATAGACTATATGTATTTTTTTAGCTTTCATTTTTTACAAAATTCCAAACAAATATAAAATTTACTTGTAGTGTGGTGTTATAAATAAATTACATATTGAGTTATTACAAAGAGTTGTTATTATATTCAGTTATTGTTGCTATTAGGTTATAAGAATTGGCAACAATTGGATTTAGAAAATGACGATTTTGTAGAATATATTAAAAAAAAATTTGACAATTTTTTTACTGGCCAACCACATAGAAGATGCTGAAAAACAAAAAGTTGTATTTTTATCAACCATAAGAGGACCTGCTTATAAACTTATCTGAAGTTATATATAAAATTTACTTGTAGTGTGGTGTTATAAATAAATTACATATTGAGTTATTACAAAGAGTTGTTATTATATTCAGTTATTGTTGCTATTAGGTTATAACAATTGGCAACAATTGGATTTAGAAAATGACGATTTTGTAGAATATATTAAAAAAAAAATTTGACAATTTTTTTACTGGCCAACCACATAGAAGATGCTGAAAAACAAAAAGTTTTTCAGCATCTTCTATGTGGAAGATGCAGGAGGAGAGAGATACACAAAGCTTGATTTGTCTCAAGCTTATCAACAACTGGAATTAGATGAAACATCGAGAGAGTTTTTAACTATAAATACTCACCAAGGGTTGTATCAGCCAACTCGTCTTCAATTTGGTGTTCATAGTGTGACTGGCATTTTTCAAAGGAAGATGGACAAGAGGCTTGGCAGACTGTCATTTGTAAAAGTGCGAGTAGATGACATACATATATCTGGGAAAACTGATGCAGAGCATCTGAACAACTTAGAATCTGTTTTAAAAATTTTGAAAGTTTGATATCGAGACACAGTTGTGCCGATTCCTTTTTAAATATCATGTTACACTAGTTATACAACTGGAGTTTCTCCAGCTAAACTTTTATTGAGCAGAAGATTACAAAATCTGTTGTCGATGATACATCCTGAAGTTAGCTCTCGAATCAATGAAAAGAAGCTATCAGACAGTTCTATGGATAAAGTTTGTTTTTTTCAACTAGAAGACACAGTTTACGTCAGAAATTATAGTAGAGGTAAAAAGTGGATTGCAGCTATAATTATATCAGGAGTTGGGAATGTTAGTTACAAAGTGTTAACATTAGATGGTTGTATCCAGATAAGACATATGAACCAAATTGTAAATCATTGTGGGGGAAAGGTTAACAAAAGCTCTATTAAAACACCAGAAAGCATAAATACTCTAATTTTGAGCAATGTTGATAAACCAAATGAAGTGACTGAAACTCCATGTTCAAGCGAAATCTTGAGTGAAAATCGTGATGAGATTAGCATGGATGTTGATCCCAAGAAACTGTGTGAACAGCCTGGTGCTTTTTCTGAACTAATCTCTTCAATTAACCCAAGATCAGGTCGAGTACGTCGTAAACCGTCTTATTTAGAGCAGTACGAATGGTTTATGGGTGGAGGATTGATGTAATTGCATAATCCGGTTCATGATTATGTAGAATAAAGAAACATGCAAGCGAGTTTCCAAAAGGTTAGGATATTATATAGAGAGACATGAAGCAAGAACTTTACTTGAAGTGTGGTGTTATAAATAAATTACATATTGAATTATTACAAAGAGTTGTTATTATATTCAGTGGTGTTATTGTTGCTATTAGGTTATAACAATATATTAAAAAAAAATATATCTTCCTAGTTAGGGATCTTCCATAAATTACGCAACCCAAAATATATTTAAAAAACAAAAGTAAAAGATATTAACTCTTTTACATAGCAAATTTCATTAAACTTAATGAAATTCGCCATGTAAAATTTTAATTTTTTTTATTTTTATTTATTGTGAAAGTTTGCGTTACATAATTTATGGACAATCCCTTAGGTAAAAATGAGTGCAAGAAATTAATGAAAAAGAGAATATTTGGTACACTTGAAAAAAGATCCAGTGAAACTAGCGAAACATTGTAGAAAAGAAGCCCAAAAAACTAAAACTAACAGAATCAAGAAAGCTAAAGAACTAAAAAAAAAAATTGACAAAAGAAAAAGCAGAAACTCTGAAAAAAAACATGAGAAAAAGAAGAATCAAAGTTAAAAACTATGGAGAAAAGTAAAAAAAAAAAAAAAATGAAGACTATCCTTACATATATAGACATGAAGATGAAAAAGAGTAGGAAAAGGATTAGTTGGTCTATATTATATATGCCTGTAATTTTTTTGAGAGAAAATCTCAATTTAAGAACAAATTTAACATGCCTTCGCCTCCAAGTACATCTGATGAATTCCAGAACTAATTATGAGAGTATGCTTATCAAACTTTTTACAACTTGAAGAGGCACCACAAACAGATAAAATTTTCCCATTGCTTTTTAAAGTTTGAAGAAAAGACCTTTCATGGACCCTTGGTGTTATCTCCAGTTATTGATTTGTAAACAAATTTAATAGGTCTTTCATGTATGTGGTGCCAACATAATAGCCACAATAAAGGTTTCTGAAATACTTCTGTCAAAATTATAATTGTACCCTTTTTCCTATCAGTGTTGGTTGCTGTAGTGTCAACACACACAGTAAATACTTGGTATAAAACAAAACATTCTAATAAATTTTGAATTATTAAAGCCTGATCAGATGCTTTATCTGTGTCACTTGCAACGGTTCAAAAAAAAATAACATCCTTGTGTGGAAATTTAGGACTAGTAACAGACACAGCAATTCTATCTCTTGTAACTGTTTTACTTACACAAATATGGATTTATTAATGCAAATGTGTAACTAGTTTGCCATAAAATAAAAGGACAAGATTTTTTTCTCTCTTTTACTCAGTATAATTCTGTCTAATTTCATTTCCGTGATTTTGAATAAACTCATAACAATTTAACCTGAATATTTCTGTTTATCTTAATTTTATTCATATCAACTGTAAGGTAGTTCATGATAATGGCTATAAACACTGTTTTATCCCAGTAGATTAAACCAGTCTTTACACTGATAGGAACTGCATGTAGCTACAGTTAGGCCATCTCGAGTAACTTCATTATTGATAAGGATTGAATCGGATAGAAGCATGAGTGGTACATTGTATTTTTCATATTTTCTTTTTTTTTAGTGTAATGTTTTTGCTGATATGCATGTAACAATATACAATATTGTTTTTTCATGATAAAAATTACCTGGTTCAGATATCGATTTTATCTCATTTGAATAATTTCCATCAGCATTTTTTGAAATTGAAATCTTTTAAATCTAAGTAATTATAGTATTATAGTTGGTACAATGTATACATTGTAAGAAAAAAAATATCAATAGAGTTGAATGTATACAAGAGAGATACCTAGGTTATCTCTCTTGTATACATTCAACTTTTGCTTCATGTTGTTCATCTATATGCAGTTATATACTATTATATGCGCTTTGTATAAGCGCATATAACAGTTTATAAGCACACATAGTTATTACACTGTTATTATACACTTAAAAAAATACTAAATCTTTCTCTTTATTCTTTTTGTTTCTTGTCTTGACTGAGTTGTATAAGCTCTTTAATGTTTTTTAATGTCAAAAAGAGTCTCCATGATTTATTAGAATTTTTTAACTAACTTTTTTTAGCACCCTGTTTCCAAACTAGAAACTTTTCCTTGGTCATTAATACTCATTTTTTGTGAATTTTCACAAATTTTGATAATATTTTATCTTTTTCAATAATATAGTTTTTAAAACTACAGGACTCCCAGATGTTCACTATTTTTCTAAGAAGACACAATTCTCTTTTTTCCTGATAAAACATTGTTTTTTCTTTGCATTTCATGATCAGATTGGACAAGAAAAATTATCACAAATACTTTTATAAATTATTTTGATCTGCTGCTAATTATTGATAATGTCTTAGAAGTAACCCATTAGTTGGAAGCTGATTCTGAGGTAAAAAATAAATAGGAGATTTAAGAAGATAAAGGGGCCTCCTACAACTCACATTCAGATATCCAACATGTTTTGTCTTCTTTTCAATATTTGATTGCATCTTTGTATCTATATGTTGGCAAATACATTAATGTTTAGTATTTATTTTTTAGTTATTATATTTAAAAACAAATCATTAAATTTAACTAATGTCATTACTAAAAATTATCATAAACCTGAAATTATGCTAACTACTCACGTGTGAAGAGAGATAATAGTTACACATATATACACATGTGTGGAGAGATAATAGTTAAGAGTTAACCCTAACATACACACACATATACACATGTGTAGAGAGATAATAGTTAAGAGTTAACCCTAATATACACACACATATATACACATGTGTAGAGAGATAATAGTTAAGAGTTAACCCTAATATACACACATATATATACACATGTGTAGAGAGATAGTAGTTAAGAGTTAAAAAGAGAGAGATAAAGAAAAAATTTAAAACCTTTTACATTTGTAGCGATGCTGCTTTTCAAGACCTTTTTCTCTGTAAAAAAAAAAAAAGGCAATTTTAAAAGATACATTAGAAATTAAATAATTAAAAAAAAGTATGAAAAATATTATTATAACCTATACCTTGCTGCAAAATTAAGATAATGTACAGTAAAAATACTGCATAACTAATGTACTTTTAAACTTATCAATAAAGTGGTAGTACTTATATTATGGCGGTTCAAAAATTAGTACTTTAAGAAAATATTTGTTGGTACCCCTTAATGTGTCCTATATGATAAAAAAACACTACATAAAATTTTTTTTAAATAAAAATATATTTTTAGGAGTTGCTCACCTTAGAACATTTGAAGTGTTTCTGATTTTATTTTTTTAAAAAAAGTCATTTAAAATATATATATATATTTCAAAACAATAAAAACTTACATAAAAATTTTGAAAATAAATATAAAATTATTTTACTGCCATAGAAAATGAAATTTTTTAACTAAAAATGAAAAGGTGCATTTTAAAATAATTTTTTGATAATTTTTTTACAAAATGATTAATATTCTTGAAAATTTTTTATATTTAAAATTATCCTTCATTTGAGAGTTTTAATAAAACCTTTAGATTTAACAAAACCTTTTTTTTCAGTTTTTTCTTTTAATTGTTTAGTTTACAATTTAAAAAATTTTTTTTTATTTAAATATAAGGTTTATATTTAGAGCTTAAGTAAAATATTTGTTCTTCGATTTTAAGTTAAATTATAGAGAATGAATTTTGGTTGACTAGAGATGATAGCTTCTTTGATCAGCAACCATGATAGTATTTGTATGACCTGTGTCATTCAAATATTATTATGGTTGCTGTTGACAAATTCTGAGATAAGATACAAGATTTAGTGAATTAAGAATAATGGAGCTTAGCATCAGACTTTTTGACATCGATCATTTTTGACATCGATTTCTTGCAATGATAAGTGTTAAGTTGCAATGATAAGTGATAAGTTCTCAAGAAAGTTGTTCTTCTAAAAAAAACTGAAAAAAACAATTACGATTAGATATATTAGATAACAGCTGCACAAGAAGGTAAAAACTATGGAGTAGAATGAGACTTGGCTTGAAACTGATAAAAAGAAATAAAAGCTTCCATTCCTGCCCAGATCCTGGGGGTTAATTCCCATTATATAGGCGAAACTTCTTGCCACCATAAAACAAGAATGATTAAACAGAGACAAAAACTCGCACATACACAAACAACTCCATGCTAACAATAATTGTGTTGATAATTATAATAATGACTGTTTTGCCTCTAATAAATTAGAGTTAAAAGTTAAGGAAAGTTTGTTTATTGAATTGAAAAATTCAGATATAAATAAACAGTTGAACCATTATATGATATCTCTTTCCAAATAATAGCTACCATTTTATATTATAAGTTTTTATTTTATAAGTTTTATATCATTTTATATCATTTTATAAGTAGTTAAGTTTGTTAAAGGGATCCCTAAGTGCTCCTAACATATGATCTCATATGAAAGAGCATAAAAAAAAAATATGTAAGTTTTTTTTCTTTTTCACTAAATTGTAATAATAAATGCATGCTAACAAAAAGCAATTGCCGAAATCACTAAAAAACAACTCCATTTTGATTTTATTGTTTCACCATTGAAACTCGATTGTTAGTCGTTAAAAATCACGTTAGTACGTCACAACAACTTTAAAATATCTACTTCGATTTTCAAGTAAAAAAAAGTCGTGATTAAATAGTTAAGTTTTAATAAAATTTTTTTAATTAGTTTTGCAAAAACAGTATAATAGCATTCGGTTGAAAGACGTCGTTAAAAAAAAGTTATAAGTAATAGTTTTAAATAGTTTAGAACTTATAAAAAAGTTTTACAGGGCTCGTATTAATCGCGATCGCGATTGCTACACACACTTTTGTGATTAATTTTTTCTTAAAAAAAATCTTTTCGCGACTCATTTTTTTTTTGGTTGATTAATTACTTTTTTTCTAACTTAGCATTTTTTTAGCAATTCTTGAAAGTAATGTTTTTATCATAAAGAACGTCACACAAAATTTATTATTCTGAATAGATAGATGAATAGATGATTTGCTCTTTCGCGCGGCGATTTTCTTTCAACGTAATTCAATTTTGAATTTAAATTACTTTAAATCTCTGCGTGGAAAATTTTTACAAGGTCGTCAAAGCGAAAAGTTGAAAAGTTGGTTTTTATCTTTGTTTATCAAAACTTCATGTTTAAAATAAGGCTTAAAAACGTTAAAGCAAAAAAAATTACTGACTTCTATTTGCATTTTTATACTGTTTGAAAAAAAAAACTAATAAAAAAGAATTAATATATAATTATTAATTAATATATTATTAGTTAATTCTTTTTTATTAGTTTTTTTTTCAAACAGTATAAATATGCTAATAAAAACCAGCAATTTTTTTACTTTAACGTTTTTAAGCCTTATTTGAAACATGAAGTATAATTCGATTTATTAAACCAAATTTTTTTGTTTTTTCTTTTAACTTGAAATAGAAAAATTGAATAAAAACATCAACCATTTAAATTAAAAACTTAATTATATTTAAACTTTTATTAGTCCTTTATTCAAGAAACAATAAATTATAAAAAACGTGGTATCTAAGTTTTTGACGATGTTTTTTGATTTATTTACGATAATTTTTTTCCCCCATTACCGCACATCGGCGCGAGCTATAAGAGAGAGGGGGAGGGGGAGAGAGCAAAAAAAAAAAAAATTTTTTCGCGATTAGATTTTTTTGCATTAATTCGAGCCTTGTCTTAGATTAATTTCTAATAAAATTTCTATTCAACCTTATCAATTTGAACCAAAATAATATAGATATTTAACATTAATGTTAATTTAACTAAAACATTTTGCAATCATTATTTTTTTTATCAAGCAAAAATGAGAGTAACCGTCACTTTTGAAACCATAAAAATTACTGAAATAAATTTATTTTTTTACTAAGGAAATATTTTAAATAAACTTTCATATGTCTAAGTCGATATTCATTTGTTTTTAACTGACTAAAAAGAGTTTAAAATTTGACTTCTATTCATTTTTAGCCGTGGAATTGCCCTTATAACACAAATATATAAATTAATATTATAAAAAAAATTTTAATATACAAATATATTTTCACAAAATGCTACAAAACTTATTCTTGTAAGTAATTATGTGTTAGTTGAAAAAAAACGACTTTACTTTTAAATTTAATTACCAACTAATAAGTTTGCAATAATGACATTTTGTCTACTTTGTTTAATTTGACGTACTAACGTTAGTTTTTTGAGGGAGTAGAGTCAATAAACTTTGGACAAGACGCATTTTTTTTAATCGAAGAAAAGCGTTTTTTTGAAAATTAAATTTGTTAGTGTGTGTTCATTATTACGTTTTAGAAAAAATAATATACATCAAACATTTTTTTTTTTTATGCTCTTTCATATGAGATCATATCTTTATAGCACTTAGGGATCCCTTTAAATATTTTAAAACCTTTATTATTTCATTTTTTGCTATTGTCTATTTTTTTGTTATTAAAAAAATTGATTTATATTTTATTAAAGAAGAATATTTGTATAAAAAATTAAATATGTTTTTAAACCCAACTGAAGAAACTATTTGAAACATGTATTGTTTGTTTTATTTGTTAAAAATATGGCTTTCATTAATAAGTAGAAAAAATTATTTTTATTTCTAAATTGTTTTATATATATATATATATATATATATATATATATCAGTGGTGAACGCAGAGTTTATTTGGGGAAACCATTTTTTTCAGCAACATGTGGTAGTAGGGGGGGGGGGAGAGATTTTTAAGAGGTAGCCTCAGCACTCTCCCCTCCCTACTTCCCTGAAGTTAAAACTGGTGCCTTTTTTGGTGAAAAGCATTTCTTTGAACTTATGTGGCACTTATGTGGTGCACATAAGTGAAAAAAATTTATTGTTTAAAGTATTTTAAATACTTAGTAACCATATACTAGTAATTTAAATTTTAGGAGTGATAAAATGTTGAAAATTTTAAACAATTTTTAATCAATATTTACAAATAGTGCACTATGCGCGAAATAAAGTAAATAAAAGTAAATATAAAGTAAAGTAATTATGCTTATTAAATGCTAATGTTTTTATATAAAATAACTTTTTGTCTTTATATAATATATTATATAGACAACACGAATACAAAACATAAGTGTTTAATAAGTTTATTTACTATTATTTTAATTTTTAATTCGATTGAAATATTACCAATTCAGTTCATTTAAATTTTACTAATGGGTAATAATTTTTATATTACTTTAAGGCACCTTTTAAATGAAAGAGATAATTATGTTAATTTAATGATTAAAAATAAACATACAGTGTTGTAAAAATATAATGGAACAACCATTTTAAATGGTGAATTTTAATCAAAATTTCCAGTTTGTTCATAAAAAAATAACTTTTTGTATAGTAAATGATTTTTTTAAGATAGTTGTTAGTATCATTTTTATAAAATCTATGCTAGGCATTTTTAGATTTTTCAAAAAGCATATTTAATAATAAGTGAATATATCAATTTCAAATTAAATTCTCTAGGACTAAATTCTCTGGAAAAAAAATAATGGGACAAAAATAATTTAAGAAGAATTATGGTAGAATTAATATTTTGTGTGACCTCCTTTAGCTTTTATAATAGCATTTAAACATTTTGATATAGATTCCACTAATTTTTTTGTAATATCAGAACTTCTTTCATCCCAAGCCTTTGTAACAGCAGTTTCTAATTTTGCCTTTCACTTGAAATGACAATTACCTATTTGTTTATCTAAAATGAACCATAAATTTTTGAAAGGATTTATATCTGGACTTTGTGCTGGCCATTCAAGAACATTTATGGATTTGGTTTGTAAAAATTCTGTTGTTTTTGTCGACTTATGTTTCGGATCATTATCATATTAAAATATAAAGTTTCTATCTAATCTCAATTTACATGCTGATGAAGTTAAATTATTATTCAAAATATCAATGTACATATCCGAATTCATTGTATCTTTCATAAATTCAAGATTTCCAACACCATGACATATAGCTATATAATGATATTACCAACTCCATGTTTTACTGTTTTTTGCATGCAACTTAAACAGAAAGTTTCAACAGTTTTTCTCCAAACATTTTGTTTACCATCAAATTGTTCCAAATTAAATTTAAATTCATACGACCACAGTATTTGTCATTTTCAATATATTCTGCAACTTTTCTGAATGACTCGAATTTATTTTTCTTGAATAATCTTACAATCAAAAGATCTTTTTTGATGGTAGTCTTACATTTGCAACCATATCCTTTCAAAGGTTTTCACAGCTTGGTTTTTAATACAACAACTTTGTTTACTTTAATTTTTAACTCTTTTTATTAAATTCTATTAACAATTTTTATACAGAAATAAAAATTCTTGAGGGCACAATTATATACAAAAATAGTTTATGACTTTATGACTAATAAATTACATCAATTAACTTTAATAATATTGTTACAATAATTTTATAAATGTAACAATAAAGTTTTATAACAATCAGCTATTATCACATCACAAATGACTATGTTGCTTACGAACTAAAGTTCATAAGTAACAAAGTCATTTAAATGTCGGCTTTCTCCTTTCTCTGGTTGATCGTTTGATCGTTGGTAATAAATTATCGACGATTTCTGTCATCAGCTTTCTCCTTAGCGTCAACAACTGTTTCTTCGGTCAGCAAATATGTCTAAATCTTCTAAATCACTTTCGTCACTGTCAACATCTTCACTGATAACAATTTTACTTAAAGCCTTTAAAGAATTTGAGACATGAGCTATTATTACATCTTACACATGTCTCGGTAAACCATCAATTTCAATATTTGCGTTTGTGCGTATGTCAGTTACAGTACCAATTTTCCAAACTGAAGTGTACTTTGCATCAGCGGGGCAAACATAATCTTTTTCTCCAATTCTTAAGTTTCTATATTTCGTTGTGATCTTTCCTGTAATTCATTGTTTTTCTCCTCTTGAATTGGTAGGCGTTAGATGTACTTTTTTTTTTGAGAAGCAGGTGCAGATTCCTTGTTTGTTCCCATTGTTGGTGTTGCATTGTACCAAAATACCGCTAGTAACTGACATACTTGTGCCCTTGCAGCTGTTCGTTTTACTGTGCAGTGGCTATGTTCCACGATTCTATTTCCTGATGGTTTATATGCACATCTATACTTCTTTTTTACACACCATTTTTCACATATGTTTAAAAATTCACTAGATCTAAACACCACTCCATTATCGATCAACAGTTCTCGCGGTGGGCCATGCTCCCTAAGTACGGATTCCAATTGACTTACTACACTTTTGTTATCTTCATGAGGGAACATTCTCCAAACTGCAAACTGACTTGGTCCACAGTCAATCATTGCTAAATATAGAGACACTTTATAGTGAGTCACATCACAAGCAATTCGATACCATGTGTCTGGTACATCTCGCACTCCATTTTCCCATTTTATTGGTGCTGGATCAATTGAATTACATTGACAACATTTGCAAACACATTCTCAACCCTTGGAATTAGGAAAAATGAGGTCTGCAATAATTTGCCGACCTCAATCCTTTTGAGGTTGGCATCAGGTCAGCAAAAATTATTTGATACAAAGGTCTGACCATAAAACATAGAAATGAGGTCGACAAATTATTGTAGACCACAAACACTTTCAGGTCGGCAATTGCTGAATGCCGACCCTAATTCCGAAGGTTGCATTTTTCAACACTTTTTCTTAATGTGCGGAAGTTTTTGTTGCACTGTAAACATTGTTCGATTAACGCCAAAATGAGGCTTTGATAATCCATTTGATCAAACCCTATGATTTTCAGTCAGCATATTTTTTAACCATCCATTTGTCAGTATTTACTGACAAAGAATTTGTTAGTGAATACTGACAAAGAATTTGTCAGTGAATACTGACAAAGAATTTGTCAGTGAATACTGACAAATTCTTTATAACCCACTTAGCAGTTTATCCCACGCTGTGACTTTCAAACTTTTTTACAATGTTTAAAATGGTTTAACGTGAAACTTCAGTCTCTTTTTTGATAGTTCTGTAAGTTTTTTTTTGTTAAACTAAATCCAAAAATAATTTTTGCTGATTCTCATTCAAATATCATTTTGCTGGAGCCATGACTGCTAAAATATAGATTTTGCTCCTAAATATTTCATAAAATAATTTTTTTCCACATAATTAACAAAAAAATCAAACTTATCTAATTTTTAAAATATTTAAAAGACATGTAAAGATTAAAAATATACAAATGAGTCAATTTTGTCATTTAAATTGTGCACCATTTGTCTGTGTAAATTTAAAAAAAATAACATAATTTTGAATTCATTTTGTTATCCTGAAGATAAAATGAGCAAGCTAAAACAAACAAAAAATTAGTTATTTACTACTGCATTTAAAATCAAAACTTTTTTTTACCTTTAATGAAAAAGCAAAAGAAAATTAACAAATAATAAACATTTTTTGGGTGCTTTTTTTTTTCTTTTTCTGAAATCACTGTATAAATTAATGTAACAAAATAGGACAAATTTGTTACATAAATACACTATAGTAGTAGTAGTAGTAGTAGTAGTAGTAGTAGTAGTAGTAGTAGTAGTAGTAGTAGTAGTAGTAGTAGTATATATATATATCCGGGGCTATTGGACTGTATTTGGGGTCTTATTTGGGCACCACCCAAATTCGTAAATGAAAACCTTTTTTTTTTTATTAGTAAATATTGCTTTTTTTGAGAAGAAATGCCTATATTCAGTAATAATTCTGCCAAATTTTGCCCGCATGGGGGAAGGGGTACCGCCACCCAAATTATTTTCCTAAAATAGCCCCTATATATATATATATATATATATATATATATATATATATATATATATATATATATATATATATATATATATATATATATATATATATATGTTGTAAACAAAGACAAATAAAGACAAAGTATTTAATTTTTGTTCCATATAAAAGAACTGCAATAAAATACAATTAAATTATGAATCATACATACCTTTTTATATAAACAATCTCACTTTCTTCACAACGCAATTTGTGTGCATGATGGTTTCCATCTACAACTCGAGAATCATCTAAAGGCCTCAGCGGTAATTTATCCAAATCACAATCTATTGAAAAAAAAAAAAAAATTTAAATCTTTTATTTAACCCGTTTTTTTAAATAATAAGTTATTTATTAAAAGATATTGGACCCATGGATATGACTATAGTATGACATTCGTTGTAGGGCTACAAGAAAACCTTTTTTTTTTCTATCACTTTGAACAAAATAAAACTAAATTTTTAGAATAAAAATTGCTTGTTTTTTTTTAATTTTTTTAGTCTAGCAGATATTTTTGATTCAACAAAAATTTTAGGTTTGTGTACATATCATGATAATTTTTTAATTATACTCAGATAAATATAAAATACTTCTGAGTAAAAATTAAAGTTATCAGTTCTTGTGCAATTGGGGACCAGAACTGATAATTCTTCTTTTTATTTGTTGCTAATGAAAATACTTTATTTTAAAAATAAATCAATTTCACATATTGTCAATAAGTGTTTTAATATAAATTTAAAAAAGTAAAAATGAGTCAATTATTTTTAAATATTATTTATTTGAAATCTGATTGAAAACTTAAAAAACAAAACTTCAACTTAATTGCAATTTAAAAATTGTACAATAAAGTATACCTTAAAATATAAAAAAAAAATTTCTTTGTATTGTAAATGAAGAAAGATTAAAAAAATTGTAAGAAGAATTATATGAAAAAAATTTCTTTTTCTTAAAAAAAGAAAAATCTTGATATCTTACTTTTCTCTTCGTGATAAGATCAATTATTCAAAAATTGCAAAAAACAAGAAAATGCAAATATCAAAAATTGTTTTTTGCACTGTAAATGAAAAAAATAGAAGGAAAAAAAACACATCTTTTTATTTGATTTAATTTTTCAATTTTTATTTTTTGTTAATAGCATGTTAGCAATATTTATACCTGATTAAACTTTCGGTTTTGTATATTGCTATTTTTTTTGTATATTGATTTCCCCTCTCCCCCTTGTCACCAATTGTCAAAAACTTTTCCTTATTATTTCTCCATTACTATTTAAATGATATGATATCAAAAAATAGAAATAGAATACAAAGTAACTTATAACTTTTATTAAAATTTATTTCAAAAAATATCATTCACATATTTCGACTAAACTGACTTTTATTCAACTTAGTTGATTTCAAAAATGTATTATTTAATTTTAGTCAACTTCAGAACTATTGAATTTTAGTCAACTTCAGAAAATATATTAGTTGATTTAGTCGATCATCAGATTATTTAAAAGTCATAACAACACTACTAAAAACAAAACAAACTTTAAATATATTAGTTGATTTAGTCAGGGGCCTAAATATTTACAAGTCATAACAACAACAAAAAAACTGAAAGAACTGTGTAAATCTAAGAAAAAGAGTATAAAACAGACTATTCACCCATATATACAAATGAATGATATTTCTAAATTATTCTATTCATTCTGAAATTGATTTTTATTTCATACCAACATTCAACATAAAATCCTATGTTTTATTTAAAAAGTTTTTTAAGTAAGGTTTATTTTTTTTTTTTGTCCCAAGAAACTCTCTATTGTAGACATCACAATTTCTTTAGCATCAAGAAAGTTTTCCAAGATTCTTGAAAGTACAATAAAAAAAACTTCATGAAAATTCTAGAAAAAGAAAAGGAAACTAAAAATCTAATGATGTCTGGCATTTAACATTTGGCATAATAACATTTCTATAGTGAATTTTTAGAAAGCATCCAAAACAAAAATAAAATAAAATTCTGAATGGAAGAAAAAGTAAATTAATCTATAATGTGATTTTCTAAAGACTCTTAGTTAAAAAATACAAATTAAAATAATTAATAATTTACCTAAGATAAGAGCAACCTGTCCACACAAACAAAAATATGGAACTAATGATTCATTAGTATCTGTATATTCTTCTTTGTCACGTGAATCGGAAACAATAATACTGCGTGATATGACTTTAGGCATACTTTAATACTGTTAAAACATTAATAACATATAAATAATATGAAAAAATAATTTTCACTATATGCATTCCCCATATTGTAACCAATAGCTTTACATTGTTAAATAAAAATGTCTTTTGTTACCTTTCATTAAAAATATTATATAAATTTAATAAAAAATCATGAAAGTACTATACTAATATAAATATCTAAAATAAAAAAGCTACAAAAATATTCTGCAACTATTACTATGTTGTACTTAGTCATATAAACCTCCTGGTAAAAAAAACTAAATATTTTGAAATTTATAGTAAATATATTAATATTTAGGATTTGCACAAGCAAGTCCTAAATAATAACATATTTAGTTTTTCATTAAGAACCATTTATTAGTATGGTCAAAACTCAAAGCAAATTTTTAATCAATACATCTAAATTAAAAAACATGTTACATTATTGTTTTTAGTTCACGTGGAGTCAGACAAAACTTTTAGTTTTTTAATTTAGTGATTTAAATTTATATTTTATACTCAAATTTGAATTTCCAAATTTAAACTTATTTTTCATGTGATATAATCAAAACAACATTGATGTTTGTTTTGATGATGTAATAGCCAGGGGTTTAGAATGTTTTCATTGGAGCTAAGAATCACTTCCGAATATCTTTAACTATCTGCAACAAAACATGTTACTATAATTGAACATCTGTTACTTTAATTAAGCTGTCAAATATTGTTGCCATTTTTGCAATCTCCCATGTTGGTAGAAAAAAAAAGTTTTTTAACACATCTTTTAATCTATTTTATTTCCCAACATGATAAAAAAATAGCACTTAGAAAACATTTCTGTGAGATAGAAGTTTGTAGGCCTTAATTTTTCTTCTGTTTCCACAACCAACCAGGTTGCATTTCCAGCATTGGTAACTTGAACCATTGACCAGTTGTACTTATTAAAAATGCATGTATAACATTAAATATTAGGGTGGGTGATAAACATTAGATTTTTTTTTTTAAATTTTGACAAGCAATACTTTGTGGTGATTATGAATTGGTATAATAAATTATACAACTTATAAAATAAAATTTTATACCCACCCACCATACACCAGAATTTTTGTAAAAATGTTTTTAAAATCTCTTTAACAATTTTATTTAATTCATGTAATACTAATTTTTAAGTATGTAGATATAGATATATATATTTTATAATTTTAATATAGATTTTATGTTCTTTATAATTCTGAAAAAGATTATTTTGCGACCAAAAAATTTATGGTGCATTGGGACAATTTATAGTAATTGCAATAAATTTTTATTATTATTTTATTTAATGTATTTTAGCATTTACATTTGTTATATATATTTTAATATAAATGTGTATATTTTATTTTTAGTATTTAAAAATAGTATATAATTAATAAAAAGCAATTTATTTTATTGTGGCAGTATTTAATACTCACAGTAATGACTTAACATAAGGCAAGGTTTTAAACTTCCAACTGCAATTATATCAACAAAAAGATCAATCAACAAATATTGCTTTTATGAACACAGAAATAAAGATGCTCAAGATAAAGTGTCAAGTTCTGCTCATGAATATTACCAATTAGTTGCTACAAAAATTGTAAATATGACATAAACTTAAGTTTCCAACAATTTTCTCAAAAGTATGTAAATTTATTAAAATAAGCTTCAAATTTAAATAAAACATCAAAACTTAGAAGAAATAATTATTTTTTTATACCATATTGAAAGCTTTTGACAATACGCTTGTATAATTCTTATGATACAGGAGTAGAAAGAGAAAAATGCAGATGTACTTTTGAAGTGCCAATGAAGGAATGGAATTCATTTGTCAGACAAAAGAAACGCAAAAATCAAATTAGCCATACCTAGACATCTACTTTTAAAAAAGCAAGAGCAGTTAAATACATATAAAAATGTTGAGGAAAAGATTGTTCACATTACTGATGATAATTTGTATGAATCTGAAAAAAAATATCAAAATAAATGAATCTAATGATGAAAATTACTAACTTTATAAATCTGATGTCTTAAACAAATGTAATCAAAAAGATTTTAATGATGAACTGGCTATTTTGGCAGATTATTATCATGTCAGTTGCAGAGTGACTGCTGCTATTGTTAATGCTGCATATACATTTCTACAGTAATGCTGACAAAAGAACTTGTTGACTTGGATACAATTATTATGTAATTCTATGCACCAGGATGGTTCCATATCAAATCACATTATTTGACATATATGGGAAAACTAAACAAAACTAATATGCTTGATAAGAACAAGAAAGAGTTCTGTGTTGGACTAAACTAGGAGAAAATTTGAATAATTGAAATTACAATGTATTGGTTGATGGAAGAAAAATGGGCA